AACAAACTTTCCACAACTCTTGTTTGCAAGAAAATGTGCATTTGGAGGTCTTTGCCACAATGACTGATTTTCCTGAAAGTTTTTCCACACATCTGAGCTGAACATCAGGAAACCCCTTAAATCAGCGTGGTGGCACTGGGAAGAGGCCACGTTTCCTGAAGATCTGCTTCATTGCTGGGAAGATGACATGGCTCTGTGCCAGAGAACTTCCAACCCTTCTGAGAGGTGCAAACTACTCCTTGCGTGCAGCACGGGGATGAGGAGAACATAAAGGAAGGAAAAGGATCATTAATGCAGTGTCCAGGCAGGAATAAAAACAAATTGTCCATGTAAATGACTTTAAAACTGGAATCTCCCTTCAGTCTTTGTAGTAAAGCTCTGTTTTTTAGATAATTGGCTTGTGAAGAAAAACTAAATGACATAAAAATCATGTCATTGTTGGAAGGTTTCCATGATGGCTTGAGGCTTGATACCTTTGCCTCCAAGGAAATTGATACTGTTTTAGCTGAGGATTGGTTACTATTGCCTGGATAAGGTTGTAAGTGGCTCAAGAATTGTATCATTTGAAGTTGCTATTGCACCAGAAATTTTGAATAAAAGACAGTTAAGTACACATTTATAACTCTAGAAGCAAGTTATAAAAATCTAGTTGATGTGCTCATTGCAGGGGGTTGGACCTTTAAAGGTCCCTTCCAACCCAACCCATTCTACAAGTCTATGAAAAATTGTTGATCACTAGAGAAACCCAGTCCATATCCAAAGGAAGAACAGTCTGGAAAGGTCAGGTAATAGAGAGGAAAATGTGATTTTGTGTTCGTGTGCATGTTACTGCCTCTGCACCAGGACATTAAAGGTGGCACATTAACACGCAGCTTTCTGAGAGGGCTGAAAAACTTCTTCCCACACGGGTGACACGTCACGAAATTCAGAGAAGGAGCTGAAACTGTGTTGGAAAAGCACAGGAAACGAGCAGGGTCAGTTCTCATAGAGCAGCAGTGAGTTGAGTGGGTTTGTAAAGCTGGTACAAAGTCAGTGAACACACCAGGACTCTACTTCCTCTGCTTTTCAGAGCTAAAAATGGAAATATAGAAGATCTGTTAATACAACGAAGGCGGCTGAAACACCCGACCATGTTCACCCTGTTTTTCAGTTCTTAAGAACTTTACTGCACATTAACTATTTTTGATGAAAATTTCCATTCTGTGCCCTCTCAGCCCCGTTTTAAAGTAAAATTTTATGACATAGATCAGCCATATCACAGTCTGAATTCTATAGAAAAACCCAAGAGGAATTAGTAATTCTGGTTTTGGGGCAGAGGTGAACAGTATGTGGTGAGATCACTCTGACTAAAAGAATAAAGTAAATATAATAATAAAATAAATAAATTGTACATTTGGTAATAGTCCTGTAGAAAACAAATAGCTTGTGATCATATATATAAATTTTCAATAAGTCTCCAATAGGTTATGCTGGATTAGATGCATGTCCTGTGCTGTAAAGGCTATGACAAGTTTCTTGAGCAGGGTGTTGAAAAAATAAGAATTGAGAGCTTTTGGGCTGACATAAAGTATAAATAGCACAAAAATGACATTCCCTACATGCCTAAGGAAAGTTTGTCTGTTACTGTCTGAGCCTGAGCAATCACAAACATCCCCAGGCCCTGTCCCTGTCACGAAACCAGAAACTATATTGGCTGAGAGGGCAAAAAAGAGGAAGAACTTGCAAATGGTGCTTCAAAGTGAGTTTTGGTTTGGTCAGATTTTATCTGGGATTTTCCTTTACTCATATTTTAGGGACTTTTGCCCTTGAAATGGACCTTCCATCTTTGCCTTTTGGTTCCATGGTCTTTGTTTATGGTGGAAGTGTGCTGGTGGTGGAGGTGGAGCAGGGCTGCTGTGCGGGGTCAGGTATTGTTTTTGTGGCAGAACTCCCCAAAATAAGCAGGAAGCAAAACCTGCATTTGAAATCCAAGCAGATCTCAGCTGGGGGGTTCTTCTCAAAACCTGTGTGTGTTTTGTATTTTTTCTCTGCCTGTTAAAATGTTTCATGAAGGGAGACCAAAGGGTGTTGGGTCTGTGGGGTCTGGTGGTCCTGCTCCTGGCAGACTCTGCTTGAATCTGCTCCACCTCACAGTGCCCTTCTTTTGGGAAGTGTGGAAAAATTTAAGTGTGTCCCACTGAGAACAAGAAAACTGGGTTGGGACAAAATCCCAACAAATCTTTTTGTGTGCTCAGGTGGGGATCCTGAACTGTGTGTGGCCTCGCTTGAGCTCAGCTAGCTGACATCTTGCAGTATCTCCCAGCTGATGGGTTTATCCTCTGTTTCCTTGTTAAAGCCCAGTTCTTTTTGTGTTGTGGGGTATTTTTGTGGAGAGGACTCTCTCTGTTGTGGAAATGTCCCAGCTGCACTGGAGGCTTGGGAACCAAGACTGGCTTTCCAGGGCTCCTCCTTCCAAGCAGAAACTTAGCTCCTTCCTTCTGGTTCAAGGAAGATTTGCAAATAGTTTCAGAAGTATTTAATATCTCCATCTGCTTTTTCTTAGTTTTCAAGGCATGGAAAATTTTAAAGGGGTTATTTAATAACGTTGTGCATTTGGTTTTTTGCTTAAAGATGCTGGAGCTCCTAGGCTTCAGCCACTCTTCCTTTACTAAAGGACATCTTGGCCATGGCAAGTCATAGGCAGGAACTTGAGTTTCTACCAAATATCATTCTCTGCCAAATATTTCATTAAGTCTTAATAGTTTAATAACCAAACAACCCACCTTTAGAACTTCCTCTCCCTATTTTGTGACTTTTCATCCTTGATACCAAAAATTTGTGAGGTCTTTGTCTCTGTGTGAGGAAAATTGCTTTCTGTGGACTCCAGATCTGTTCATTGGCATCATCCAAAGGAATTAGATGTGAGTTTTGGCAGTCGTGGGTGCCTGGTTTTGTGTTTGTGTCCCAAATCACTGATTTTGTGGTTGTAACCCTTGCTGAAGGATGAACCATCATCCCCATCTGCTGGTGGTACCCTGGACTGGGGATTTGCTCACTCTGCCATCCAGGTTCTCTGTATCACTTCTATTAAGATTAAACAATTTTGTGAGTCAGAAAATTCTCAGTCACTTAAAAAAACTATTTACAAGTTCTCAAAGCTTATACTGAATTGACCAGTGGAGTAATTATGATTAATGTACATATGAATACACTGGGCAAAAGGTCTCAATACTGTGAGCTTCTACATCTGAGCAAAAGCCCTTTCACTGCTGGCAGTGGGGAATGAGTTCATATACAAATGCTATAGGAGACAACTACCCCCAAAGCTGTACTCAATGAAACAATGCCCACATTTATCCAGTTCCAAAGAATTAGATCTTAAATAAACACAGTTTTACCATTTTATGAATATTTTTTGGCTGAGTTAAGTATGTTTTCATCCTGAGTTAAGTATGTTTTCCATAGGCAAAGCAATGAAAATTAATTTTCTGTGTAACATTTCTGCCTGTTGGATGCTGCAACAGAGTCTGGAGAAGCTGCCCTAGTGCTCTTCTGGCCACAACCTGTCCATACCATAATACTGTGTTGGTCTGGTGAGGGATGCTGAGAGACAGCAGGAGTTTGTCCTGGTCAAAAGAGACATTTTGGAAAATGGAGATGCATTTTTAAAATGGGAATTCCTGACACTGAGCATGGGAGTATCTGGAAAACTCGTTAGTAAATAATAAGTCAGAGATTGTATGTTGGCTTGTTTGGTTCATTCCACAAAGTGTTTTGTAAATGAAGCAGTATTTAAGGATTTTTTTAGGATTATGGGAATTGCTGTGATTAAAAACAAGAGTAGGAACTATTAACCAAACCAAAGACGGCTCTGTTGAAAAGCAGCACGTTTGATTTATGAATCTGCAAGAAGGCACTGGTTTTATATTCCCCTCACATTTTAAAACATCTGGACAATCTTTTTAATATTATGCCCACACAGACATCAAAATATATTGAGCTTCGCTTACATGTCATTTAGAAGGGGGTGTTTTCAATTAGATTAAAGTTAATATCTTTAACCTTTTGCATTTAAATTTCGTGGTGGTGTGCAGAAATAATTACTGACTTGTCTCTATGTTCCAGTAATCATGCTCTCAATTATTTCTTCCCCATATTATTGCCAAGGGGATGTGTCTGGAAACTCAAATTTGGCATTCAAGTGGCAAGGATGGAAGGAACATGCAGTTTAATTGTGAATGTGTACTGTGCTGTTAGATGTTATTTTTTTCTGTGATAATATCACGGTTTTTGGGCACTTCGCAAACACAGGGAAAGCTTTTGTGGCAGTGTCAGAGTTTCTCCAGACTGAGCCTAAGGCTTTTGAAGCAATATTTGTTGAAGTCTGCTCTATCAGATTAAAGGCTTTACACTGTTGAAGCAAAACCAATACACATTTAGTTTTAAGTACATTTTGGCAGAGATAGGGGAGAAGGAAAAAAGGGGGGATGGAGACTAGAAATGGAGGAATCTTTCAACCTCACATGAGGGATACCAAACCAGCAGTACTGTCAGGCTTATTTTAAACACATTATTTAAGTGATAAGCTGGAAAGGGAAGAAACAGGAGATACTAGGAAAGAGTTGGAATTAGCAATATGTAGGTGAAAATGTGAAGAATGGAGTGACTTCGGAAGCCATGAAGGAGATAAAGCAGAGAGGAGAACGTTCCTGTGGTGTCCCAGCTGATGGTTACAATGACTGTGACCTCAAACTGAAAATATGGAAAAAAGCCAATGGATAACCAAGGCTTTCCATGTGTTTTTTGTTTGTAACTCAGCCAGTGCCCGCAAAGAGTGAAAAGAAATCAGTGTATTCTTGTTGTGGCTACCTTTGGTTGAGACTAGATCCACATGTCAATGATAATAATGTAAAGATCCCTTGGATTGCATAGGGCATTTTATCAACCTGATAATTTAATTTGTGCCTCAAACTGTACAAAGCCATTCCTGACAATTTTAATTGCTCCCTTTTTTTTTTCAGTCGGAGTCAAGTTGCTCCTGGAGAGGTGCAGACAGTCCATTTCAGTTGTGTGGAGGATCCCACAGTCACATAAATGCAGGTGTGTTGGTTTTGATGTTTGGGTTTTGTTTGTTTTTCAGTGGGAGGATTAATTTCATAAACTGTAGAATTGGTGGTTCGGGCTTTTGTTGTTAATTGAGCTAATACTTAGTAAAACATGGAACACAGACCCCAAATCATCTGTTTCCTTTTGGCTCTTTCTATTTAAACACTGGGTATAAAATGCAAAATGCATTTTCTTTTGTGTCAGAGATGTCTTCTTATGCATTCTTGGCAGTCTAAAAGCTTTTGCTTTAAGTCTACTTAGTGCTACTCTTTCATTCTGGAGAGAGAGAGAAGTAGTAATAAAAAATAACTCTGCAATAAAGCTTATTTTACCATGACTCATTAAGTATCAGGAGTTAAAAACACAAAGGGTGAGAGGGGACAAAACAATCAGAAATATTTAGCTGTTAAGGGGACTGTAAAAATAGAAGCTGACTTTTTAAAAAAGGAAACATAAATTGAACTGTTTATATTATCCAGTCTCAAGTGCTGTTTTTCAGCCAATTAGGTGCCTAAGAATGTGAAAGTTATTTGTGCTTTACGGTAAGAAAGAAACCTTCTAAAACAGTTGTGGAACCACCAGAAGAGAAGGGAATTATTTGAAGCAGAGTTCCCAGAAACAGAATAATCAGTGACATTTGATTTTTCACTTTTCATCTCGTTGGTTTGGAATAATCAGGTTCCCAATGTGAAGATTTTGAGAAATGTGGTGCCTGGCCCATCACAGTAAGAAGTGACCTCACTAAGTGATGGATTGGTGTTCTGATAAACATTCAGACTCTCCTTCACCCTTTCCTTAACTATTTTTCCTCTGCTTTCAGTATCTAAACGTAAAAGAAGATTGCAAAGCCATGGCTTTCTGTGCAAAGATGAGGAGCACAAAGAAGAGTGAAGTAAACCTGGAAGTTCAGCATCAGGGCTTAGAAATCCTCTTCTACCTGCAAGATAAAGACCCCATTTGTTATACCAGTGGGGAGTTCACCTCGGAGGAGCTGTGCATTGAAGCTGCCCAGAGGTGTTGTGAGTACAAGGATTTCATTTGATTTGATTTGATATGATTTTATTCCCAGTATCGAAAGCGATGCATCCTCTGCATTTGAGTCAGTGTTTGTACAAGCAATGTGCATTTTTTGTGGTCTAGGATGAAAACTTTTGCCGAGGGGCTGTTTGGTCAGTTCTTAAACAGGATCTCTCCTGTGTTGTGTCACTCTGGTCTGTGACTCAGCAAAATACTCAAAAATATATGTAATTCTCCAGGAAATAGTTCATTAAATCAATGTTTATCTCAAAACCCACTGTACTTTTATATTTACAATTCTGAGGTTGATTCCTGCCCTGAAGCCAATTTTGTGTCCCCATGGAACACTAAATGTTATTCAACTCATATGGGAGTGGTGAATCTGGCTGTGTAAACAGGTGAACTGGGCAGGAGTTTTCCTGCAGCTTTAAAATGATTTCTTTTCCCAAGTCACCTGGATTCTTGGAACATTGAATACCCTTCAGTTCATTTGCCTAATTGCTGCTCTTCCATTGGAAAGGTGAAAATGAGTGGGATCTGCAGGACAAACCTCATCAAATAAGTACTGATGTGATTTTTTTAATAGTTTTAATTGAAGTCAAGGGTATTTAACCACCCACCTATTTCTGTCAGCATGGAGGAGCCCATGTACTGTGCAGGTTCTCCCAGTGATTTCTGCTGGAAGTTTAAAAACTTTATAGAAGTTACTTAAAATGAGCTTTTCTTAAAGGAAGTCTTTCTACCTTCTCTTGTTTTTTGCTAATTCCACTGCACACAGCAATGAAGTACAAATTCTTTCCCATTTGAGCAGGGCTGTGATGCTGGTCCCTGCTGGAATGTTATGATGGCACCTGTATCCTGCTTGTTACTTGCACAAGTCAGTGGCTGCCCAACCCCACCTTCTGTGAACTTAAAAATTAGGCTCAGATTTTATTTCCTTGGCTTCTCTTCTCCCCAGTTCACAATGGAAATAGTTTTAGTGGATGCTGCAGGAAACAGGAGCAAGGAATTCAAACAACAGACCTGTAAACACTCCACAGCCTATTTTTCTCTGGGATGGTGTAAATGCAAAGGTTAAAGCAGGTCAGCCTGGACATACAAGTCAAAGTCTGTTCTTTGTGGAAATCCCTCTGTTCAGTGAGCAAAGAATGTGACAATGGCACATTCTGCTTGTTTGCTAAAACCTCTCTGAACTATGGGGGCAAAATTCATTCATAAAAGAAAGTGGGGCTATTGCTGAGTGGTTTTGTTAAAATACTTGTTTCTGTGATGTGGGAAAAGTAATTTCCTCTCAAATTCAGGGCAAAGTCAGAATTTCAGGATCAGTTTCATATTGGAAGTAGCTGTTTAATGCACAATAAAACAGAAGGATTGACCCAATGTGCAGGTTCTGCTTCAACCTTAACTTTCTAATATATTAGAATATTCTAATATACCAGTCTCAGTTTCTTTTCAACCTGAAATATTTACTGTCTGCATTTGGATTTTGGGTGTGTGTTTGCATTGTGGCCTTGTGATTCACCCGTTTGTGTATTTTTCTGTGCCAGCTGTGTCTCCTCTGTGCCACAACCTCTTTGCACTGTATGATGAGAACAAAAGGCTCTGGTATGCACCAAACCAGGTCTTTAAAATCGATGAGAAAACATCCTACAGGCTCCACTATCGCATGAGGTAAGAGAAAAACCACCTGAAAAATGATCCTCAACCACATTTAAATGCTCCAAAGTCTTATTCCTGAGCTCCCTGAAGGAGCAGGAAAGCAAAACCAAAAGCAGCCGCTTGTTTTGCACAGCTTTGATAAGAGATGAACAGCAGAAGGTTAAAATATCTCCTGATTTCTTTTCATCTTTGCTGTCTAACCTTGAAAAAAGGCCCAGGAGTTGAAAAACTACAAGAACTCATATTCACAAAGCTGGGAGTGAACAAGCTAAAAGCTAAATTGAAAAATTGGCTCAGAAACATTGGGGTTTTTATGTCAGTGTTTTCATGTTTTGGTTTCCATTTGAAGTGCTCCAAGTGAGCAATATTCCTGGCGAAGGAGATGGGAATTTTACTAATGTTTACTTATTTTGCTATATTGGTTTACTATTTATATTTACTATTACTTACTAATATTTGTATATAATCTATATTATATCATATATAGTGATATACATGTGTTTATATATTATATAATCACAATATATTATTTTATATTATGTTATTTATATTATTATTAATTTTATTATTATTTATTTACTAGCACATTATGCTTCCTTTTTTAAATTTAAAAATAATAAAAATATTGTTTTTATTCTGACTTTTCCTCTTGCATCAATATGAGCTTTAAGCATACAACATAGGAGAAAAATATATAAACTAAACTTTGCTTACAGGAATAATTAATTTAGAAACTTCACCCATTTTCCTAAGGCAAGTCAACAGATAATTTTTGTCAATTCTTCAAGACACAACTGTAAGAAAATAAACTTTTCAATAATATTCCCTCTGTGCCTTAAAATGTAATCCTCACACCCAGGGTCAGTTCGGGATACAGGGAGATACAAGCTGAAGGCTTTGCTGATCCTTGGACTGTAGGTGTTTCCATTTGATCTCTGTCAGACTGGAATTGTTATTCTTGGATGAACTGCTCCAAGGAAAAATTACTGACAGTCATCAAAAGTCTTTGCTTTTCAAATAATCATAATCCCAGTCCTTATTTCTGGAAGAGGAAGAGGACACCGTAGTCTTTTCTTTTTTCTCTAGCACAGTCTATTAGTGCTATTAATGACTAAACCTTGGCTAATCTCAGATTTAAACAGCTCTGATTAAGTTGGGCAGATAAACACCACACAGTAATGGAATTGAGTGACTCTAAATGAGGTTCTGAGGACTCTAATGGCCTCTTAGAGAGCATTGAGAGCCCTTTCTTGCTTTGAGATCACTCACTTTAACAATAGACTGAATAATACAACATTTCTGGTGTAATGTGAACCTGGAGGTTTTCCCCTGAAACTCCTTGTTTTTCTCAGTAAAAAAGGTGTTGTTTTAAAAGTGTAGTTTTGGGGATTTAATCCACTCATGAGAAGTGTGATGCACTTTGTAATTCTGGTTTAAAAACCGGGTTTTGCTGTGTTTGGTGGTGTTTGGTATTGATATGTTCCAACTTTGGGTGAGTGATGAGAGCAGGTAACACCACCTTTCTTAAAACTGCTTAAACAGCTCCCTCTTGTAAATCTTCTTTGGCTGTTCATAACCCAAAGATGAGTGATAATTATTAACACCAGTTCTTTTCTTATTCCCTGAAAATAATTATGGGTACGTGGACAAAATTAGTCTATGCTGAGCTTTATTTTTTTTGAAATTTTTTTGCTGTACCATTTTATAATTTTCTGGAAAATTTTCTGTTGTACCATTTTGTAGTATGAAGCTGTGGAAAATACTTTGGTTTTTATAATTAAAAGTTCCGGTGGTTTATTTTTTTAAGCTTTGCAGTTGGGATTTAAAGTTTGGCAGGGAAATCTCTTTTGTCCCTTGTACTCCATGCATGAAAACTGGCAAAATTTGGGCCAAAAGTATGTATTTTACATCATTTCATATGCATTTAAGAAAGAGTTAAGCACCAAAATCTAAAGATTCTTATCTCCTCAGGAATAAACACTCTAGTGTAGTGGTGAAGTGGTGTTTTCCTTTCTTTCTTTTCTCGCTTATTGTGTGTCTTGGCTTGGGCATCTGAACTGAGAGCAGGGCAGTGCTGCAAGATTGTGAGCAATAGGGTTGTGAAACTGTTCTCTAAATGAATCTTGTTTGTTCTGAGCTCTGCCAGAGGCAGAATTCCTCTGAAAAAGGAAAATGATGGGGGCTTATTTAATAGTGCAGTGTATTAAATGTATAGAATAATTTAGAAACTAAATTGGCAGCCTCATTTCTGTAATTTCAGTACATTGATAAATTTGCTCTAGTCGTGTCCTATTGAAATTATATCTCTAAAGTGAATGTTTGTGACTAGTTTGAAATGCTTTTAGATGTTTAGATGTTTCACACTGCTGAAAGCTTATTGTTTTCTGATGGTGTGAACTTCCCATCCTCCTCAAATCAGTGTCAGCTGCTGCTACACTGCTACACTTCTGATAATATTTTAAAAGGACTTGCTTTATACTTTGTAACTTGCCTGTATTTTTTACACTTGCCTCGAATTAAAAAAAAAAAAAAAGCTACAGCATGAGAAACTACAGTATTTTGTAATATCCTGGTTTAATCAGCACAGAGCTGGTGGAGGAGGAGTTTAACTGTTCCATAGCTGGATGGTGTTTCTTGGTGTGGAGAAGGGATCTAATTCCTTTCTAGTGGAAGGTGGCAGAGGAGTTGGAATGAGATGAGCTTTAAGGTCCCATCCACCCCAAACCACTCCATGTTTCTGGAAACTCTTGGAAGAAGGACTATCAGAGCTGCTGTAGGTGAGAGAGAACAGCAGGTCCCTCTTCCAGCATTTCCACCACTCCTTGGCCAGGTGCAAAGCTGCACCTTCCTAGGGGTGACTCTCCTGGACTGAGTCCCAAAATCCCTCTTCCAGGCTTTCACCCGGACTAAAATGCTCTAAAGGAGGGCTGAGCCCTGCTCCTGAAATTCAGGAGCACACAGTCTCCTTTCCAGCTCATTTCCAGGACTTGGGAATTGGAAAACTTGTGCTCCTGTTCCTGTTTCTGGAAGTGGAATAGCAATAGTCTGTCCCCCCCTCACCGCAAATCCATTGGTCTCCTCAAGGAAGAGATTCTCCTTTATGCAGTTCCTCAAACAATGGGGCTCTAATTGTTTTTGTAACTTGTAAGAGTTGTCTCAATCAGTGCAGTTTAATAGGAAAAGGATCAAATCCTCCTCTCAATTACAAACAATACACAATACCATGCCCATAATTATTTTCAGGAAATAACAAAAGCATTGGAGTTATTAATTATCACTCATCTTACACAGGAGATACGGAAACAAAGTTATTTCCTGGAGGCAGAAGGATTTGCTTTGCTCTGCATTTCAGGCTTCAATCAAAGGAGTTCTGAAGGCTTTTAAAGTCCTTGTCAGGAGTTTTTTGGCACAACTGTGTGTTGGTATTTCTCCCTAACAAGTGCTTAACTAAAAATACTAATCGTGTTTCTGCTTTTAAGATCCTGACTCTGCACTGAGGCTGATACACACCAGCCTTGACCACTACAGTACTGGGGCTTTATCCATGAACTCCAATTCTGATCAGACACAAGTCACTAAAATACAGTCACATATTTTAAAACATGTTTGCATGTGACTTCTATTTGTAAACATTGATTTCAGCCCTTCCTTTGTATTACAGCATTTTATATCTATCTGTCTGTCTGTCTGTCTCAATCATGGAATGGTTTGGGTTGGGAGGGACTTCAAAGCCTATCCAGTCCCATCCCCTGCCATGGGCAGGAACACCTTCCACTAAACCAAGTTGCTCCCACCTGGCCTTGGACACTCCCAGGGATGGGGCAGCCACAGCTTCTCTGGGCAACCTGTACCAGGGCCTCACCACCCTCAGAGCCAAGAATTCCTCCCCAGTATCCCATCTAACCCCTCCCTCTGGCAGTGGGAAGGGTTGTCCTTCCTTGTCCTGTCCCTCCAGGCCCTTGTCCAAAGTCACTCTCCAACTCTCTTGGAACCCCTTTAGTCACTGGGAGACCACAATTAAGTCACCCCAAAGCCTTCATTTTTCCAGATTGAACAAGCCTAATTTTCTCAGCCTTTTCTCATAGGAGAGGTGCTCCATCCCTCTAATAATAATTATATATATATATATATATATATGTAATCATTTCTCCCCAGTTCCTCAGGCTAGGCTCTGGAGCGCTTAAGGCAACATTTAAACAGAAGATTGACAGATTTTACCTTTTAACTGATTTTCTTTTCAAAGTTCAAAATCTGTATCTAGTGTAAAAGAAGGGCTTCCCCAGGAGTTTGCAAAGTTTATGTCTCTTTTCTTGCTAGATACTACTTCACCAACTGGCACGGGACCAGTGAGAGCGAGCCCTCGGTGTGGAGACATTGCCCAAGGAAGGCAAAGGCCTACGAGAAGAAGCTGGCACCAGAAGGAACCCCAATTCTTGATGGATTCTCCCTGGAATACATCTTTGCACAGGTAAGGGGTCACTTGCAGGTGTCTCTGACATTGTACAAAAACTGTGGGACTGTTTGAAAGACCTGTTTTCAAACTTCTAAAATACATATAATGTACCTGTTAGTGTTGATAAGTGTTTTCTGTACTTCTGTGTGGTGGGGAGAAGAGAATTTGCTGCATGAAGAACAATCCATTGATAGGCAGAATGTATGAAAAAAATGTCTACCTATATTTTATAGGTACTTTCTTTTAATAGTAAGTAATTTTGGATATAAATTGTTACCTTTTTGTGAAACATTTACTTGTAACTTTAATACTTATAGTCCTATAGAGGAACAGCAACAGCATTAAATCATAAAGCTAAAATACGTCTGGCAGTACTGTGTCCTTTTAATGAGTCTTTTTTCTTCTGAGGTGTTAAAACATAGATAAAAATTGACTGATAATCCCACTGTCCCACTGCCTGATTTTGTGCAGTTTTACTTTTCTTCTCTTGTCCCAAGTGGTTTTGCAAACCAAAAACTGGTTTCACAAAAAAATGGGAAGATTCAAGTTGATGGAGGCTTGTGAAATAAGTAAATTGAATGCACTGAGGAAAACTCTTGTACTGTTAATTCTGAGTGTAGTTACTGCAGAATTTTCAGACTCTGAAACCTGATCTTATCCTTCAAAAAAAGGGACAACATGAAGCTGCTCCAGTGAATCCTTGTTATGTAGTTGTGAAACCACAATGAAAGAAAATACCAGAGGAACACTAATGCAATAAGGCAACAGAAATGTCTTTGCTCTTTGGTAACCGAATACATTTCAGGCTGCCCAAAGCAAAGCAGAGCACAGACTTTGCAGGCTTGGCTTTTATTGTGGCTTAGAAACGAGCCCATGAGGTCCATGGAGACCTTGGATAGGGAAGGGCAGTGATAAAGCAGAGACACAAAGTAGTTATTGGAGACAAGAAAGCAAATGTTGAAGGTGCTGGAAGAGGACAGAGGTGGTGATTTCTTTGGTTAATTGAAAAAAAAAGGGATTTTTGGTGGGCTGATGTATAAGCGAAGGGGATGGGTTTGAGTCTGGGGAGGCTCTTGTTGCTCAGGGAGATCTGTGACCTTTTGCTGGCTCATGGACAAAGTGGCAAATACCAAAGCTGGAAACTTACTCTTTTTGTTCCTATTCAGGGTCAGTATGACTTAGTGAAAGGCCTGGCACCGATCCGGGACCCCAGAAATGAACAAGAGGTTCATGAAATTGAGAATGAATGTCTGGGCATGGCTGTCCTGGCAATCTCCCACTATGCCATCAACAAAAAAGTGAAGCTTCCAGAGCTTCCCAAGGATATCAGGTGAGCTTGGATAAATTCTTTGTCACTGTTGGTCCTGCTGTTTTTCTCTTCCAGGAGGGGTTTTAACTCCTAGTATTGTTTTTCCTTCTAGTTACAAGCAGTATATTCCTGAAAGTTTGAACAAGACCATCAGACAGAGGAATTTCTTAACCAGGATTCGGATAAATAATGTTTTCAAGCATTTCCTTAAAGAGTTTAACAACAAAACCATTTGTGACAGCAGCGTGTCCCCACGGGATCTGAAAGTGAAATATTTATCCACAATGGAGACCTTGACTAAACATTATGGAGCAGAGATTTTTGAGACTTCATTTTTGCTGATTTCTTCTGAGAATGAAATAAATAGATTTAATTGTGGAGACAATGAGAAGTATGAAGTCATGGTAACAGGAAACAATGGAATTCAGTGGAGGCTCAAGCCAAGTGTAAGTAATCCGTGATAACTGGGAATTAGAGGATTCTTTTGGGAGCATAACAACTGTTAAAAATTATCTTCAGACACTGCAGATCAACTTTTTATTGAAAGGACTTCTATAGGATTACAGGATTATGCAGACTGGGAGAACCTCAGGAAGTGTCCAGTCTAACCCCCTGTTCCAAGTTAGCTTTGAGATCAGACCTTTGCTCAGGGCTTTATCCATCCAGGTGTTGAAAAATTCCAAGGATGGACCCTGAACAACCTTGGTGGGCAACCTGTTTACCAGGAAAATTAAAGACTCTACTTTATCTGCCAGACCAGACACAGCTCAAAAAGCATTAAAAAATTAAATAGCTTTATTAGATGTATTTGAATGGATTATATTCCATATTATATTCCATATATTAGAAATTATTATATAATTATGTAATGAATTTGTAATGAAGTTTTGTTTTAGAGTAAAAACAAAAAGCAACAAAAAAAAGCACTTTTCTTATTACACTTTTATCCAAAATGTATTTGCAGTCTGTACAGACAGAGAAAGAGAAGAAGAAAAAATCTGATGGCAAATCCAAAAAGGATGAAGAAAAACACAAACTTCGGGAGTCATGGAACAATTTTTCCTATTTTCCTGAAATCACCCACATTGTCATTAAGGAGTCTACAGTCAGCATCAACAAACAGGACAACAAAAGGATGGTAAGAACCAAACTTGGGATGGGTTTCCCTTCCATGGGGAGCCATAGGGGTGGTTGGGCAGCAGGTGAACACATCCTTGAGGAACAATTTTAGTGTAAATGACACTGAAATATGTTGCCCTTAACACTGGACAGATGCAAAAGTGCCCATGAGAAGCTGGTGAGTGCAGTTGTTTCTCTACACTGGCACAAGAGTTTCCCTTCCAGATCTTGTGGATTAGAGGAGAACTTGGGGTGCTGGAGAATGGAAGTTTCCAGCCCGTAACGAGGGGGGAGGATAGAGAATGATCAGTGTTAGCTCCTTGAATAGAACAATTTTTAGCCAAAAATCTGGCTGTTAAACATTCCTGCAATGCTTTAAGAGAGCTGTAAGGATTCTTTCCAAGGATATCTCTGTGTTGTAGGAACTGAAGCTGTCCTCCCATGACGAGGCCCTGTCCTTCACGTCCCTCATCGACGGCTACTTCAGGCTCACAGCAGATGCCCACCACTACCTGTGCACAGATGTGGCTCCTCCACTCATTGAGCACAACATCAAAAACGGCTGCCATGGGCCCATCTGGTCAGTAAAATGTGCCACTTTTATTTTTCCACTTGGATAATTAGTCCTCTAATGCTGCTGCATAAGGAATCCATGGAGGAAATCTGGTATTTGAATGGTTGGTCATTACCAGAAGGTTGTAGAGCAACTTGGTTTTGTTAAGGATTACATGGAAAAAATTCACTCTTTCTCTCCACAGAAATTTACTCATCTATAAAACCAAATTTTCCTCACCAAGGGCATGTTTTGTGACTTATTTCACCAGTGGCTATGAACAGATGGGAATATTTTAGGTACAGCTGAAGTGTATCTACACTGACCCTGGCAGTCCTTGGAAGGATGAACAAAACCCTGGGTTTTTTAAATACCTAAAAGAATTGTCTTCCTTTCTACCCACCTTTTGGCTTTTCCTTTTATGTGTAAGATGCAAGATGTAGAAAACCATATGCACCATATGTTGGTTGCAGAATTTCCCCTTGATAAATCTTTCCTCACTTGCTCTGTGCAGCTCAGAGGTCTTTTCCAACTGGTTTGATTCTGTAATAATAACAATAATAATAATAATATATTTTGGATGCACATTTGTTGGTTTTCCTCATGGAACATTCCCTTCCAGCACGGAATATGCCATCAACAAACTGCGCCAGGAAGGGAATGAGGTGGGAACATACGTGTTGAGATGGAGCTGCACAAACTTCAACCACATCCTCATGACAGTGACTTGTTTGGAAGGCTCAGAGGTAGGTCAGATGTGGCATTCCCAGCAGGAATCTGATAATGGGCTGAAGACTCCAGAACATCTCCACTTTTAGCAATAAAACATGATGGAAATTAAGCATTTAAAACTCATATGGTGTGAGAATGACACAGAGAATTTGTCACTGCAACTTACCTTGAATGGTTCCAATTCCCTTGAGAACCTTCTTGAACATGGACTTAATTATATGGATTTATTTCTGTTCCCACACTGACCTCAGCTGGCAGTCTGACTAGATATTTTGGGAGAATATTTAGAGTGTTCACACAAGAATAATAATTGTAAAAAATACATATAAACTCTTAGGGAAAAATGTTAATTGAGGTCAAGAAGGGATATTTGATACTGGGTTCATGTTCTGATGATATTTGCAAAAAAACCAGCTGATCAGCACTGTCTTCCAACAGACAGGGCAGTGAGGCAGTGAGACAGGAAAGGAATTTTGTCTTGGAAAACATTCAGGCTCATTGTGAAGCTTTGGGAGGGAAGGGAGAGGTGAGAGAGCAGTTGTAGGGGGGAGACCTTGATAAGTCTTGAGATGGGCTAGTCCAAAAGTTAAGTTTTTCTTCTTCACCACCTTTGAATGAAACTGGAAGGTCTCAACAACAACCTGAAATCTTGTTTCAGTGGTTGAACAATGTGGGTTGTGAAAGGGACTTCTGCTATTTTTAAGCTGAGATTTTGAAACTGTGGTCCAGGTTCTGCAATTCTTGACCAAGTGAAGAGAAAGTTCCTCCAAAAGAGGCAGAACTTCTGCATATTCTTGGGCTAAAACACCAAAGCTATAATTTGGGTTTGTGAGGGGCTTGCATCTGTATTTTGCTGCTCTTCTGCTCTGTTGTTATGAGCCTTCCTGGGACTGGAAGATTACAGGAATTTTAGGTCTTGTCCTGCTTTGTTGCACTTTGATTAGAGGACCCTACCTTAGGAGCAAGTGATTAACTGCTCCTACGTGTGATTGCAAAGGTTTTGGGAAGCTTTTATGCCTTTACAAACATATTTGCTTTCTTTTTTTCCCTTTTTCTCACTAATCCCAGGTGATAAATAACTCAGGGCAGTACAAGAACTTCCAGATTGAGGTGAAGAAAGGCGGGTACTTCCTCCATGGCTCAAACAAGTCTTTTGCATCCTTAAAAGAGCTGATGGATCACCTGAAAGGACAAATCCTTCGGACAGACAACATCAGCTTTACACTGAAGAGGTGCTGCCAACCCAGACCAAGAGGTAAACCTGACCTTCAAGAATTTTTTTATTGCAAGAAAATAACCTCCAGGAACAGGAGGGATTCTTAGTGTGTTCAGTTAGTGCTGTGGCAAAGGAGGGTTGTAACCCTTGGTTTGGAGCTGTTTGCTCTCATTATGAGCTACTGTTCACTCATTTCGTCTTCATGAAGCAGCTTTTGGTCTGCAAGTGATGGCAAGAACAGCCTTGTGGCAGGAAATCATCTGTGAGGCCACATTTTAGGGGCTGGGACAATCGTGCACTTGTTGAACTCTTGATGCCAACACTTACTGAAGCTGTTTGCTCTGAACTACCAGTGTCTTGCAGCTGAATTTTGTGTGAAAGAGGAAACACAGTGGTGTGATTGTGTTGATCAGATAATGGTTTCCTGTTAGAAACAGGGGAAGAACTGAACCACGGTAATACCTGATGTTCTGAGGGGTTTGCAGAGACACTGAGCACATGAAGAACATGGAGAATTATCTGGAGCAGGGGGAAATTGTACATTTTGACATTTGACATTTTGGTTACATTTTGATGACTGTGTTTGGAATAATATATAATAAAATGGGTCATGGAGTTGAGTGCCCACTTCAGCTTTTCATTGACATTAAGTACAGCAGGATTTAGTGCTGTTCCTTTTCTCTCTTCCCTGTTTTTTTTTCCTTCTTTTTGAATATATTTAATTGGTTATTCACTAAGAAGTTTAGGGGATGCAGAAATAAAGCAGCTTTTGCAGTGTGTGGTTATTATTGATGGTTTCAAAGCGCCAGGTGATGGTTTAGCCCCAGCACCCATGCTCTGCTCCCAGCAGTGGGAAGGCTGGATGCAAACACACATCCAAATCCATCATCTCATAATAAATAATGCCTGGAGGTCAAAATTCATAGGCAAAACTTCTGCATCTACCCTGACCAGAAGCAGTGGGGAAGAAGCACTGGGTTTTTGAGCCCTTTCCTTCTGTTCATTTCCCTTTCCCAGTTTAATTCCAGTGCTCTGGGAACAGACTGGGAGTGTTTCTCAGAGCACAAAGAATTTTGATGAGGGTAAAGAGAGGAGACTCCAGCTACTCCTTGCACACTGGAAAGGAGATGTACCTGTTGGCAGGAGGGAGTGGGGGGGGTATTTTACTTCAAGGACAGCAGAGATTTTGCCTCTCTCAGTCTTTCTTTGTGCAGAAAACACTATTCAGTTGCTTTTTTCAGCCCCAACATTGCAAATATTAACACTGTGTTTATACTATAAATATGTAGCTGTCCTTTAGTGAATTCTCTATTGAATGATGAGCAGAAGTCAAGGTCAAAGTTTCTTTTTTCCCTCCAGAAATCTCCAACCTGCTGGTTGCAACCAAGAAGGCACAGGAATGGCAGCCCGCTTATTCCATGGGGCAGCTGAGTTTCCATTGGATCCGCAAGGAAGAAATCCTGCAGGTGGGTGCCTGGGCTGCTCCTGGAATCCCGCACTGTGGCAGCCACTGGTCCCAGTCACGTGACACAAAGTCACGCCATCGTGACTGGTTCTGCCACTCCTATTTCTCCTCAGCAAAACTTCACTGAAATGTTTATTAAATCCTCTGATTGCAGAATCCAAATGTTTATGTGTCCTCGTGTGAAAAAAAAAAGATGCCTTTCACTAGAAATCAACTTGATATTTGAGCAGTTTTCTAATGTAAAAGAGGTGTTTCTAAGGTTGTTTCACGAAAGTTTTAAGAGCTGTTTTGTTGCTAAATGTGGCTGTATTTTTTTAAAGCCTGACTTATCAGAGAAACGGGCAACTTGAGGTTTAAGACAATGTCCTACAGTAAAAAAGATGAAGTATTCAAAATCTCTGAACAATCTGAGCATTCAGATTTTTGTGTTCTAAATTTCCCCAAATTTTCTGATAGTTGTTCACAGTCAGTGATGCAGATCCACCTGAATAAACCTCAACAAACACACAGTGGCTTGAGTGCACAAATCAAATTTAATGTTTCTAAAAACAATCATCCCATTGTCTTCTTCTGTTAAATAAAAAGGTTTGGGGTTTTTTTTAGTTGCATCACTGAGTGTGCAGGATAGGAATGGTGGTGATTGTTTTTGGATGGGTATATTTGCAGTCAGCATTCAGGCTTCCTGCAAAAATACCCTGAAGTGGAATCCTCTGTTACTGAGGAGGAAATTACTTACCCAAACAAAGCATTCCATTGAAATATTACTTCCTCTAACTTTTGGAAACACATTAAAGATCACCTCAACAGCAGCTCATTGTGAATAAGAGGCCAGTTGTTATTTATTCATTTGTTTAGTCTGGTAAGGTTAAATCACAGGCAACCTGTTTGATGTTTCTGGAGGTAGAATATCCCAGGAGTTTAGGTGGTGAGGATGCTCAGAGATCATTCAAGTACAGAATAACTGAACTGACACTGGGTTCTCACTGTTATAATTTTAAGTCTGGATGTAGCTCAATCAATTGGAGAGACAGAGTAAAGTGCAGATTCAAAGTATTTGTGTAAAACTGCCCTTGTTTGCTCTGTGTCTGAGAAACTTTTGGTGTGTTGTGTCTCAGGGTGAACACCTTGGAAGAGGGACGAGAACACAGATTTACTCAGGGATGCTCAACCTCAAGGATGATGAGAACGAAGGATATCAAAATGAAAAAGAGATTAAAGTCCTGCTCAAAGTCCTGGACCCCAGCCACAGAGATATTTCCTTGGCAAGTTGTTCCTTTTTGTGTGTCCTGCAAATACTGGGCCTTGTGTTGTCACTGAAAACATCAGGATAAATCAAACTCTATTTTTTTTTAATATTAGAAATTAGAACTAGTATGACTTTACTCCAGCCTTGGGTACTTAGGGAGTGGCTCCACTTACATGTATAAGACTTTCAGAACTTTTCACCTATTTACACCTTTTTAGCAAACAAAGAAATGAGTGTTTATTGCTTCTAAATGACATAATTCTCTTTATTAATTAGCATTCTATCTTCTATTGCTTACTGATTTCTCACTTCTCCTGCTAATTAGTCCACATTTTCCGTCTTTTTATTATCTTTTTCCTAGAGAGGGAGTTTCCAGCACATGCTGAATTGTTAGTCTCTGTTAGTCTTTGTTAAGTCTCTTCTTTATCTTCTGGTTACTGCAACATATCCTTGGAGGGCTATAAATTCTGCATTCCAGGTGTCCAGCTTTCAGCTCCCCCAGGCTTTGTTCATTGGAGCTTATCGGGGTTAGTTTAGCAAAACTAAAATTCCACGGATTTTCCAATCAAACTCTAACAATAGCTATGAAAAAAACTTTAGCTATGTGCTGCGTAAAGTGGAAAATTACACTGCTTGTGATGAATACACTGTTTATGGTTAATTAAAACAATTAATTAAAAAGTTAATTTAAACCAGTAATTAAAAAAAATTAATTAGGAAAGTTATATCATTTCCAACAGTGGATATCTCTGAAAAGTCTTTAAAAAAAGGGGTTGGGGGTGGGAAAATGCTGAAGGCACAGCTCGTGGTTTCAGGCAGTGGGATGGCACATCCTCACCACTGTTCATGTGGCTAAAAGCAGTGATTTTATACGAGGTTTTGTTCCCTGATGCTCTGGATTTGTTAAACTCCTGGAATGCTGGCACCAGGAGCAGCAGTTCAGTGCTGACCTGTGTCCCCTTCCCACAGGCCTTCTTTGAGACAGCCAGCATGATGAGGCAGGTGTCCCACAAGCACATCGTGCTCCTCCACGGCGTCTGCATCCGGGACGTGGAAAGTGAGTCCAGGAAACATTCCCAGGAGCAGTTTGGGAAGGACAGGGCAGTCTTTGAGCTTGGCCCTGGCACAGGGGAGATGGGCGTGGCAGCTCTGCCTCTTGAGTTTTCAAGAGTGGAATTGGAACAGCAAAGCATCTGCAAAGTCCTTTCTGTTAAAAAGTTTCCCCTTCCAACACTGTCTTTGAATACGGGTGATTCCCTAAGGCTGGAATGCCAGAGGGGCAGTGACAGTGTCAGTACAAACCAGCCTTTTGGTAGGAGGTTTTTCCCTGGGAAGACTCTGCCCTGTGGGCTTTGAAATGCTTTGTTTGCGTTTACTGTTCATTTACTACATGAAGCCACTCAGGCTTTTAATGTGGACTCTGGGCACTGAAATAAACCCTGAGGAGGGTGAAACAAAGACATTGGATAACCTCTGACCTGGGAGCAGAGGGGACATGGTGACAGGCCCATGAAATGACTCCAGACACTGGTTATTGCAGTACTGACTTGGTGCCCCTGACTTTGCAGATATCATGGTTGAAGAGTTTGTGGAGTTTGGGCCTCTGGATCTGTTCATGCATCGGAAAAGTGAAGTTCTGACAACTCCTTGGAAATTCAAAGTCGCCAAACAACTTGCAAGTGCCCTGAGCTACCTGGTAAGAGGCACCTTGGCAAAGGCATTGCTGGGGGCTACTGCAGCCTAATTTTCCACTCAGGAAAATACAAGTGCTTAAGTGTGAACAGTATGTTTCCCTACTTCTCCTTTCCTTTTTTTTCTCCAGTTTTTTCCAAGCTTTTTGGATTTCAGCTTGGAGTATATTACAGTGGTCCCCCATGGTTGGATATGCTGGAGCACTCACTGTTCTTTTCCAACTTTTCTCTAGGAGGATAAGGATTTGGTCCATGGGAATGTGTGCACTAAAAACATCCTTCTGGCAAGAGAGGGAATTGATACTGAATATGGTCCTTTCATAAAGCTGAGCGACCCAGGAATACCCATAACGGTGCTGTCCAGGCAAGGTATGGCCAGGAATGGGATCTCCAGTGTGGTGGGGAATGGGAAAGGAAGGAATATCATTTATGCCACCCAGAACTGGCTCTAGAATAGAAGTTATCAGCTTTTACAGATCTGAGAACTACACAGTGGGTGCTTAGAGTATCAATTTCTCTTAAAAAAACATGTTACATCTCATGAGATAGGACAGAAGGAATCTGTTTCTGGATGGCTCCTTGTAAAAGCCACAGGAACATCCTTCTGGGAACAGGGATTTCAGAATCAACATTTCCCCAAAACTGGACAAATACTGCAGCTTCAGTTTATTTTAGTTAAGCAGCTGTTAGACTAATTCAGTTGAAGGCTGGTTTTCCACTCCTGATATTCACCCCACAATGTGGATCCTGTGTTTTATCCAAGAACGTGTTGAGCGAATTCCATGGATTGCACCTGAGTGTGTTGAAGACTCCAAAAATCTCAGCATTGCAGCAGATAAGTGGAGCTTTGGTACAACCCTGTGGGAAATCTGCTACAATGGAGAAATTCCACTGAAAGACAAGACACTGGCAGAGGTAAAACCATGTTACACAAACTTTGCTTTGGCAGTTCAGATCCATCCCCTTTGGCACTTCAGTTTCCAAACCTCGTTTGAGTTCTTTCAGCTCACAGGAAACCAGCTCAGCTGGACTGGATAAGGGGCTGATCCCACCTGGATTGCCACAGGTTGCAGCAGGAATTCTTGTCCTTACATCAAAAAATGCTAATTATTGCTTCAACCTGACCTTGTTGGAGCACAGCAATGATTGAACACAACTTCTGATGTGCTCACACTGGTCCTTCTCACAGAATCCCTGACTGGTTTGGGTTGGAAGGGACCTCAAAGCTCATCCTGTTCCACCCCCTGCCATGGGCAGGGACACTTTCCACTATCCCAGGTTGCTTCAAGCCCCATCCAACCTGGCTTTGGACACTTCCAGGGATGGGGCAGCCACAGCTTCTCTGGGCAACCTGTGCTGGGCCTCACCACCCTCCCAACCACGAATTCCTTCCCAATATCCCATCTAAGCCTGCTCTCTGGCAATGGGAAGCCATTCTCCCTTGTCCCAAGTCCGCCTCCAGCTCTCCTGGAGCCCCTTTAGGTACTGGAAAGGGCTCTAAGGTCTCTCTGGAGCCTTCTCCAGATGAACACCCCCAGCTCTTCCAGCCTTTTCTAACCCCTGTGCCCAGCTGGAATCTGAGTGAGGTTCTCCCAGTCAGCTCCGTGGTTCTGCTCCTGTTTCTTTCAGACACCAGTTCTGGATGGTCTCCTGTGGGACACCACTGTGGTTCACTCTGAATCCTAAATAATTGAAATATCTTGTGCTGCTCTGCTGGCAGTTTGTGTTCATTGCATCTGTTCCAAATGTGCTTTCTCCCTCTGGAAGTTTTGCTGTGCTGGGAACGTGATGGAGCAAGGCAGCGAAGGAAATGTCCGAGTGCCTGAGTCACTGCCCAGGCTGGATCAGGAACTCCCTGCCCTGGCTCCAGCCCCCTTCCTGCATGTGGGATAGCTCCACAGAGCTTGGGAATGCACAAAACCACCCTTCATCCCCCCTGCCCCAGCGCTAGTACCTCCTGAGGAGCAGCCAGTGTGTCCTTGGCAAGCGTTTCCCCTCGACCATTTGTCCTGGTACATGAGGAACGTGGCAAACCTGACAGAAAATAACTTCTGAAAGGTGAAATCTTTTTAAAAAGTGTAAAAACTTCATATGTGTTAACTGGTTGCTCCAAACAACACCAGATGCAGCACAACAGTAATTTTCTACTGGTAGGAGATCAGAGTTCCACTGAAAAGGGGGATTTCCTTGGCAAAGTTCACGACAAGTTAAGGATTTAATGGTCTTCTGATGCAGAACGTAGAATCACAGAATCATTTAGGTTGGAATATACCTCTTAGATCCCTGAGTCCAAGCATTCCCCCAGCTCAGAATCCTGAGGTTTTGAGGCTACAATTCACTCAGGAGTGTCTGTTTGTGCCCACAGAAGGAGAGGTTCTACGAGGGGCACTTTGTGCTGGCCACGCCGTCGTGCAAGGAGCTGGCAGACCTGATGAAACAGTGCATGAACTACGACCCCCACCAGAGACCCTTCTTCAGGGCCATCATGAGGGACATCAACAAACTGGAGGAGCAAAGTAAGGCATGGGGGTAGGGATCATGGAATCCTGGAATGGTTTGGGTTGGGAGGGACCTTAAGGATAATCTCGTTCCAACCCAAGGCTGATTTATTTTGTTAAACTGGACACCTGACTTCTGTCTTCCCTGTTGGCTGTGCTGACAGCTGTGTTGTGTCCCTACAACAGGGACTAACCATGTCTGTAGATGCAGATGTAGTAAATACTCAGGGAAGCTGAGTAACTACTACAGGGTGGGACGTACACCCAGAGAAAACTGGATCTGGAAGCAGACCCAGCAACCAACCCACAAAGGGAGGGAGGATCAGCAAGGGATAGACTGGCCTGTAGGTATGGAGGAATTCCCTGTCAGAAAGCAGGAAAATTGTGACAGTGGGATAGGCACAGTAACAGCAGACTGAAGTGAGCAAGGATGCCTTGGGGTGTTGAGACTGAGGTGTCCATGCAGGAATCTTTCTAACCTGGGACAGATTTTTCTGTCCATTTTTTTTTTCTGTCCAGATTTTTTCTGACCATGTTTTTCCACTCCTAGATCCTGATATTGTGTCGGAGAAGAAGCCCGTTACCGAGGTCGATCCCACTCTCTTTGAGAAACGGTTCTTGAAAAGAATCCGGGATTTGGGAGAGGTAAGAGGAATGTCAGACACAGAACACAGATCTCTGTGTGTGTGTGTGTGTGTCCCCCCACAGCCATGTGCTGTGTCACAGCAGGGAGATGTGGATCATAAACACCTAAAATAGTGCTTTAGTGTTGCTGTCTGTGAACAGTGTTCCCAATAATGCTCTTTTCTCTCCCAATTAGGGCCACTTTGGCAAGGTTGAACTCTGCAGATATGACCCAGAAGGTGACAACACAGGGGAGCAAGTGGCAGTGAAATCCCTAAAGCCAGAGAGTGGAGGGAACCACATTGCTGACCTCAAGAAGGAAATAGAAATCCTGAGGAATCTCTATCATGACAACATCGTCAAATACAAGGGCATCTGCACAGAAGATGGTAAATTGTGTAGAATATTAAAAGCATACACTGCTTTAAGGGTTTTCCTTTGAAAATAAAGCATTTTATAAATGTCCTGCCAGGAAGGGGTTCTCCTGGATTGGTAGAGTGATGGATAATGGAATTCAGCTATCAGTGCTGCAGGCTTGTTCAAAAGTTATTGGTATTCATGGTCTGAAAAGCATCACATGTGTGCAAACTAAACATGCTCTGGTTTTAGGAGGAAGTGGGATTAAGCTCATCATGGAATTTCTTCCCTCTGGGAGCCTAAAGGAGTATCTCCCACGGAACAAGAACAAAATCAATCTCAAGCAGCTGCTCAGATACGCGGTTCAGATCTGCAAGGTGAGTGGGACCGGAGCTGTTGATCAGTTTAATATCTAATTAAACAGAGTGAAGAGGAAAAGAGGTCAGGAACAAACCCATTCTCCTTTTCTGTCCCCAAGGACCTGAATCCTAAAGCAGTCTCTCCCCTGCTATGGGTGCTACTGGCACAAAGATCAGAGGAGGAATAATTAAGACATTCCCTTGCTTAAAAGTTGTTTTGAAAAGTTGTTCCTGCTGCAGAATTTGGAGTATTAGGAGGGAGGGCAGCACTTGGAGTGTGGGTTGGCAAGAGGGAAGGAGCAAGGTGCAAGTCTAAAGGGAGGAAGACATGAGTGCAGAGCGTGGTCAGACCATCTGAAGCATGAAGTGCAGAAAAACAGGGATTAAAATATTGGAGGACCAAGGATGACAGGCTTTCTTTCTTCTCTCAGGGAATGGACTACTTGGGCTCCTGTCAGTATGTGCACCGTGACCTGGCAGCGAGAAATGTCCTTGTGGAAAGTGAGAACAGGGTGAAGATTGGGGACTTTGGGCTCACCAAGGCCATTGAGACCGACAAGGAATATTATACGGTCAAGGACGACCGCGACAGCCCCGTGTTCTGGTACTGCCCCACAACCCACCTCCTGCAGCCACGCTGGGCAGGGCACGGCCTGCTCTGCTCCTGTGCCCTCAGGCTTTGGGCATCCTCAAGGTTCTTCCTGTTTTTATAACAGGCCCAAGTAAAGATACACCATGAGAACATGGAAAAGGCACCTGGTAGACTGTACTCTTGTGCCATTTATTTTTTCCTGCACTTAATTTTCCCACTATTTTGGTTTTCATTTCCTTTAGTTTCAGAGTGAGTTGTAACAATTGTACCTTATTTGCTACGTTTTACTATTTACTTGGCATCCCACATTAACTAAGGTACAAGGACTCTAAAAACATGGAATGTGCCTCTAGAGCTGGCTTTAATAATGCTGTCCCTTGGATCCCCAGGTATGCCCCAGAGTGTTTGCTGCAGAGCAAGTTCTACATTGCCTCAGATGTCTGGTCCTTTGGGGTGACGCTCTATGAACTGCTCACCTACTGTGACTCCGAGTCCAGTCCCATGGCAGTAAGTGCTTGTGACAGAATGGTTGCTGAAGCTGCTGAAATCCCATAATTTTGATATTTTTGGAAAAAAAGAGGTGGAATTGTAGAATCCCAGACCAGCTTGGGTTGGGAGGGACCTTAAAGCTCATCATTCCCCCTTCCATGGGCAGGGACACCTTCCACTGGACTGATTTATCTTAGGAAAACAACCCTTGTGGTTCTTTTTTTGTACTGGCTGAGGGATGCCCAGCTGAGTCTTGCTTTTCCCACAGGAATTCCTGAAGATGATCGGCCCCACGCAGGGCCAGATGACGGTGGCACGGCTGGTGCGTGTCCTGCAGGATGACAAGCGTTTGCCACGACCACCCACCTGCCCAGAGGAGGTAAGGGACGGATACGGATGCTCCTGGAGCCAGAGCCTTGTCCTTGGACACTGAATTAACACCAGAGGTCCATGGTTAACTAGGCCTGGCCACTCTGGTAGGAAAACCTTCAGCTATACTGTGAAAAAGGCATTTCCAAGGTTTGGAAGCATTATTTTAAGATGTTTTTTGATATTAACATTCCCAAGTTGGTGATGTCCCTTCAGAGGGGTTAAGGACTTGCTGTAATACCTGTATCCATGAAAATTCAGTTGGAATCCTTCTAATTTTTGCAATACAGCCTTTCTGGGTGTGTAGCACTCCTGTAGGTGAAGCTGTTAAGACCTCAACTTACAAAAACCCCTCTGGTTTAGGTCCTTACTGATCCTGACCAACCCAAGGTGTTTCTGTTCATAGCAGTGGGAATCTGCTCCGCCCTCTTTACTGGAAAAGCCAATGAGATGTTCCTCTCCTTTAAAAATGTCCCTGTCCCTGTTCCAGGTGGACCAGCTGATGAGGAAGTGCTGGATATACAAACACGATGAGCGCACGACCTTCCACAACTTGATCCAAGGATTTGAAACAATTATGAGTAAAATGTAATTAATTTCTTTTATACTGTCAGTACTTAATGTGCATCAAGAATACATATGGCCAAGGCTCTTCATTTTTTTTTAACTACTGTAATTTGTACTCTGACTGGGCCCATGTGGGGAAAGGATTCTTTTGCCAACAGTTTTCCTTTTGAATTTTAGTTGGATCAAATGAATTTAAAGGTCTAGGAGGAACAAGAGCTGCAGCTCCTTTGCTGCTTTTATCGCAGGGCAGTTTTATCCTTATCTGATGATGGTTGTGCCACAATTGGGACTGCCCTGATTGATGTGATGGTGTGAACTGAGTGTGGGGACAAAACCCACTGCAGTTCTCAGTGCCAGCTCTCACATCTCAAACCTGAGCCAGTGCATATAAGAAGGCACAATACAGCCATTTAATAATTTTACAGAGTTTTGAGGCAGCTTTAAAGTCTGCCTGACAAATATTCTTCATGTGCACTTACTTAAATGTTAGTAACAAAAAACCAACTCTGGCATAAAAATGCAAAGCTAAAATTCTCAGCTCATCTAAACCCACCAGGCCAGAGTTCTGAGCTCTTACATGTATTTAAAAAAAAAAAAGTGTTGTGTTCAAAAATACCAACCAAGACAGAGTGGAGGGGCGGGTACAGCTGTGCATTTCAGTGAAGTTTTTGGATAAACAGATTTGCTTTTCCTGTCTCCCTTCCCCATTACACACGTTGCCCACTGAAGCTGCCTGATGCTGCTCCTCAGCTCGTGCTGTGGGTGAAGGACAGGAAGGGAAGGGATTAATGACACACTTGGGGATGGAAAAGAAACAAATCCATGTGCAGAACCTGGGGGGTCATTGTCTAAAGGAAAAGAGAGGCCTGAGCACCCCAGGAACACCTGGGACACGTATTCCTTAACCACCACTTGACTCCCAGCCCGAGCCCCATGTGCAGTTACCCGAGGAGAGCCCAGGGGATCATTTCCCTCTGAGCAGCTCTTGGCTGTGACCCCTCAGGCTTCATCCAACAGTGGTTTAACTGGAACCTTCTGCTGACCCTAAATTTGGGCTATAATGTTTTCCTACCACAGTTTGAAAATGCTTTGAGGAGATACTCGGTTCTGGCAATAATAGGAAGATGTCTTTATATATATATATAAATATATACATATCAAATTGTAATTATGAGCTCCAATGAGGTCAGATTTATTTTTACAGTGTTACCTGTTGTTTCTGTATGTCACTTAGGAAGCTGAGTTAAATCTGTAAGCACTTTGTTACTCTTTATACAAACAAATTATTAAAGAACTTTTTTTTTCTCCATGTGCCTACCTTTTTAATTATAAATTAAAAAGAGAAAGAACTTTTCAAATAAAACTTCCATATGAACAGTGGTCAGAACATGTTTAAAAACAACTTTTCCCTATCTAACCTGACTGAAGTAGTCCAGGACAGTTTTTCTCCCACAGAAAACCACTTTAAATATGTACCAACAATTTATTTTCATTGAAAAGTGTAACAAGTTGAGAAAGTTGCATATACAAACAGTTGGAACAAAATATTACAAGTGAATTTATCAATACATACAGGTAGAATCCCAGAAAGGCTCCTGTTCTCTGTGCACAAAGGGTGGGCCAGTTCCAGAGCCCAGCAACTGAGGGAGGAGGGATTGTGATTGGAATTTTTTGTTTTTAAGCTTTGAAAATACGGATCCTGATCACATCCCAAAGCCTGGAAGGCAAAGTTTAAAACTTTTTTTTTTATTTTAAAAAAATCAGTATTGAAAAATGGCTTCAGTATTAACTAGGAAGAGTAAGGAAGGTTGTGGCCTCGGTGGATTTGCTGCATGATCCCAAGGCAAAGGATTCCAAGGATTCCTTGGAATGAGGGCTGGCTCCTCCTTTACCTCTCAACACCGACTGCAAAAGTAAGGATTGCTAATCTTTAACTATTCTTAATGAATAAGCTAAAAATATAAGAAGTCTTAAAAAAAAAAAGAGAAGGGAAAAAGGAAAATACACTCAATCTGGGAAACAATGGCTGTGGGTGGCCCTGGAAGAGCTGGGACACACCTGGCTCAGCTGTCCCACACACACCTGTGGAAGGAGGAGGGGCTTCACCACACCCCCTGTGTTAGACGGGTACATCCACACACTGGAAATCACTGCCTCCCAGGAAAAGCTGTGGATTCTCAGCCCAAAAGCAGATAAAGGTTACTCCACTGTCCAACTGTCACCTATCTAAATCCCACTGAAAATTCCAAGGCAGCACAGTAAAACATCTTCCTTTTACCAGCCATTTATTGAGAACATCACCGAGGCTCTGGGAGTACATTTGGTATCGCTTCATTCCAGGACTGAGAGGAAATATTAAAAATGCCAAGGCTGTAAATGCAGAACTCTCAATCCTGGAAAAAGTCAGGTTGGAAAAAACCCACACATTCTGAGTTAAAAAAATACAAAATAATTACTATCAAGACTTCCTCTTTTAAGTTCCTCAGCCTGAGGACTGGAGAAAGGATCAGCTTTCCTTCCTCAGGGATTTATTGCTTTCAGCTGGTGGAGCTGCCACAGCTCCCAAGTCACTGTGCTCTGGTCCTCAGCTGCTCTGTGGGGCAGGTGACAAAGCCAACACTGTCCCCTCTTCTCCCAAGGGAAAGTGAGACGACCAAGGACCAGCCACCCCTCAGATACGTACCGTGTCCCTGGATGTGCTGTGACAGAGGGGGCTCCTCCTGGGCCACCACAACCACCCAGGGAGCAGGATGACGTGTGTGGAGTTAAGGCAGCAATAAATAGCAGAGGTCCAGGCCTGCCTTGTCCCCTCCAGGCAGGAGGGAGGGTTCCAGGCTCAATACACACGTTTTTTTTTGAGGGAGGACTCTGTGTAACGCACTGTGGATCCCGGAGCTGGGAATTCCACGGGGCCGGGCTCCGGGGAGGAAATGAGGTACGAGGAGCTGCGCTTCTCACTCCGGGCTGGAGTCACCTGAGGGCAAGAAGAAAACAAGTGACATGAGCCACAGCAAACACTGTCAATAAATAACACTCCAGGCTGGGAATTACCAAGGACCAAGAGCTGGGAAGTGACTCCCAAGGCCTGACTCCATCGGCTTTAAGGTCCAGCTCCTGAGTCAGTGCTTGTGCCCTTTCCCTAAAAAGAGCCACCACTCATAAATGCACTGATCCCCTGTACCTGGGGGCTCTAAGGGGATCTGACACTGGCACATCCTGCCCAACCCCTTATCACAGCCACTAGGAACTGTGTGTGATTCTGAGCAACTCAGGAGCAGGAATGCAGTGGGAAAGCTCTGCCTTGGCTTGCCGTGGGCCCGAAGTCCACTCGGTGGCAGCACAAGACAAGTAAGAAGCATCTGCAGCCGTTCTGCTCCATCTCCTCTCACCTTAGGGAACGGATTTGGGGGAGGAAGCTGGGATGCCTGCTGGGATCCCTGGGCTCCACTCAAAAGGGGAGGCACAACCTGCAAGCACGTACTGTAGTCTGGATAAGATCCACCTGTAGATTCCTAAATGCAGAATGGGATCCAGGATCAACCAGGAGTGGAAAGAAAATAGGTTTAATCATTCATTTTTACTTGCTATAGTGATGAGCACTCAGCAGGTATGAAAATACCTGAGTCCACTAACAGGAGGTGCCATTCACAGCAGCTTGGGTGTGCAGTGATTCCATGAGCAAAATGTGGGATTTGGGGATAGTTTACTTTACATAATTCCTTAAAAGAGTGTCCTTCTTCTTGGTCACAGAAACCTCAGTTTGGGCAAGAAACAGTCCTTCAATACTCGGAAATTCAACACTGGGAACACCATTATAGTGGGCTGTTTCTTGGCGGGAGTATTTTAATATTCCTGAATTTACAGCTAACTCTGGATTGTAGGCTTTTAGAGGGGATAATACGAGTATGAATCCCAGGGAGTGCAGGGCTGCCCTGCAGCAGGTGACCATGCAGCACCCCTCATCCCACACTCTCCAGCCCCTCATTCCTGAGGTCCCCACAGCAGCCACTCACAGCACACAAAGCAGTGTCTAAAGCAGCCTCACAGCTCATGGGAGAAACAGCCAGTGGAAACAGCAAGAAAATAAAGGTATTTCTCACCTCAGAGGCTTCATTTTCAAACCCATCCACTCTGGCCTGGGTAGAGTGAGGTGCCTGAGCATAATGATACCACTGCTGAACAGCCTCCTATAAAGGAGGAAAAATCCTCTCCCATGGCTGTCTACAATTCTTACAGCCTCAAAGCTCTCCAAGATGCATCAAAACACATTAAATACAAGTGATAAAGCTCAAATCAAACATTTAAAACTATGATTAAGTGCTTAAAAGACACACAAGGCACCACTGCCCTGGCAGTGATGCAGGTACAGTGTAATTCCTGTTACATGGAAGGAGTAGACAGTGCAATAGGGCTGGATGGTGACATGTGGCACTTTTGCAGCAATGTGACACCATTTGAGTCCTTCATGGTAGTCAAGGTAATACTGATAACACTAACAGTACAGTACTGCTGATTTTTTTGGATAGTAGTTTACAGATTTGGCTTAGAAACTACCTCCAGGAGACATCAAAATAAATTTAAAGCCCATAATCAGATTAAAACAAAATGTTCACAGAATCGTAGAATCACAGAATGGTTTGGGTTGGAAAGACCTTCGAGACTATCCAGTTCCAAGTCCCCTGCTTGGAGGGATGGGGAGAACACCTTCCACTACCCCAGGTTGCTCCAAGCCCTCTCCAACCTGGCCTTGGACACTTCCAGGGATGGGGCAGCCACAGCTTCTCTGGGCAACCTGTGCCAGGGCCTCACCACCCTCACAGGGAAGAAATTCTTCCCAATATCCCATCTAACCCTGCCCTCTGGCAATGGGAAGCCATTCCCCTTGTCCTGTCCCTCCAGACCATTGTCCCAAGTCCCTGTCCAGCTCTCCTGGAGCCCCTTTTGGCCACCAGATCTGACCCAGGAGGCGGGTCTGGTCATCAGTGTCCCAATGCCTGTGGAACTTGCTCTCAGCACTGCAATACTCCCCAGACTCCCCCCCTTATGGCCATGCTCTGATCACCACGTGGGACACATGGGAAGACACCCCATACAGTGAAACCAGCAAGAGAGACTGCAAAAATTCCCCAGGCTATGCAGGAACTGCTGGAAGGCAGAACACTCCTCTCTGGGATCCAGCCAAAGCTCAAGAAGATTTAAAAGCTTCTCAGGAAGGGAAAGAGAAAAACTTCAGAGTTTTGAAGACAGACAAAAGCCAAGGTAGAAGTCATAAGAAGTCATTTTTGTAGTGACTCCCCTGAGCCCAGGCTCTCAAGAAGCAATTTTCCAAGGGTTATGATTTCAGCAGGGAATGTACTTTGTGCTAAATCTATCCTGAACACTGACAGAGATGAAGTGCCAGTGAAGAGTTTCAGTCTCAAGAGGAGGGTGGGTTTGGGTGCAGGGAGCCCAGGAGTGGTTCATGATGCTGGGCAGAGCTGTCCAGCTGCACTCAGGGCTGTCAGGCCACATGTGTGCCAAGAAGTGCATCAGGAGCACACCGAGAAAACAATGAGCAGCTCTGGGAGGGATCTCAGGGATGTCTGCCAGAATTCCTGCTGGCTGAGCTCCAAGGGACAAACCAGGCTGCAAAACAAGTACCTGTGTGTACTCCCCAGGCTGCTGAGAGTAACTGAAATAGTTCTCCATTGCATGTTGTGATGCAGTTCCCTGAGATACAGCAGCATCCACCACATTGTTTGGAAGGCCAGTCTGCTGCTGCGGATTGGAGGCTTTGCTGGCAATTGCTGCTGGGAACACAAAGAACACACAGTTTGTACAAACACACGGGCTGTATAAAACACACAAATTAGGTTGTATTCTGGGATTAAGCCAGAAATTTGCCTCTTCACATTAGGCTGTGCTCCAAACTAATCAGTGCTACTATGAAGTGAAAGGCTTCTACAAGTTTGTCTACGCCGGGAAGCCCATTACCTCTGAGAATTTACCCTTCCCAAACAAAATATTAACTATCAGGATACTGAAATTTTGATACAGACTGTAAGATTCACTTGAGGACAAATTTTGTGGTCACTGGATTTACCACCCAAACAGAGTAAACATTTGCCACACTCTGGCTGTGGATACTTGCAATTAAAGCCATGACACATTTGCTTACCTGGCAGGCACATCCCAGGCAACACACTTGCCAAATTCAAGTAGGGGTTGGTGCTCAGACGAATTTCTTTTGGTGGTTCCCCAAGCAGTGAAGTCTGTTTTTTCAAGGGAGTCTGTGAAAAAAGTGGACAGGGCAGTTTGCATTATATTTTTATCAAATTTGTCAGAAATAAGGTAAATGTCCCAAAAGAATTTGGAAAAAAAACCTTTGCCCTATGAAATAAAACTTATAAAATAAATCCTGGGGACAACGATCTGGACCCACTGCCTATGCTTTTTCCTTCCAAATTATTTTGTAGGAATGTTTCTCTTCAGACTGCAAGTTCTTAAAGGACATTACAAAACAAACAAACAACAGAAAACCTTTTATATGCAAGTAAGGGAATAATAATCATCATAACAACTCCAGATGCTGGGAGTGAGCATTAAAGACAGCCAAGACAAAATCAACTCTTTTCACTTGGAGACACAGGGAAATAAAGGACAAATGAGCCCTGGAGAGATGATGTTGTCTGAAATCTGCCATTACAACACATCCCACTGATCAGTCCATTTGTAAGCCTGGACTTAAAAGGGGAAAATGTTTATGAGTGGAAATGAAGTGTCAGGACTGGCTCACATTTCCTTTGAACCAAATGAAATGTTGAAATAAAACACTGATTTTCTATATGTATACTCATACACCCTATGTTTTGTATCTATACCTACATAAAATTCCACTTCATTACAGTAAAAAATGATTTCAAAAATGAAATAGGAACAAACCTGTCAAAGCTGCCTAACAGATACTGATACTGGATATAATCTGAATTACAAATATATTTCCCCAAAAATGTCAAAGTATTTATGTATATTATAAAAAAGTAAATTCTGTTAATGGCAGAAAAAAAACTTCTGAAATAACCAGGCCATTCTGGTTCAACTTGAATCCCATCCCATCATTTTCCCAGGGAATAAATAATATATAAAAAAACTGATACAGACTAAAAATATGTCAGCTGGGGCTAAGGAGGAAAGGATTAAAAGTGGAAAATTTACATACACACACAAATATATCTATATTTCTCTATAAGTATGCAAACACACACACACACTAGAATTGCTCCTGATTAGCCACGAAATTCAACCACAAGTTCAGTTTTCAGCCTTTAAAAGAGACACTGCCCTCAAGATAAATTTCATCATCAAATACTATGAGGAAAACCCATGGAAAAAAACCCCCTCCAGCATTGTGAAGATTCCTTTGTTAAGTCACTTGGACCACCAAAGAGCATCATTGTTCTCTCCCTATTCTTCATTACTGAAATGACCTTAAGATGTCTCATGGATGATCCTGTGATCTGGTGAAGAACTGCACTAAGTTGCCATTAACTCTTAAAATAAAGAGAAAATCCATATGCAAGAAAGAAAGAAAATATTTGTGTTCAATCTTCCTTACCCCCAGATTTATGTCAGTGCTTTTGAGCTGGTTCTGTTGTTTGGTGTGTCCAGCCCTCAGAGCTCCAGCAGGAAGGGTTGTCAAGGTCTGAGGATAAGGCTGTGATCCCGACACAACGGCTTCGCCCGGAGAGGGTTTGTCTGGAGCATTATTTTGCCCTGGGATGGCTTGTCCAACAATGTGCTGATTCGGGAAGAATGGCAGCATGCCCATCCCTGCTGCTGCTGGAATTGGAGGCAGATTAGATGCTGCAGCCAACCATAAATGGAGAAACTTTGCTGTTACACGAGATTTATCAGCACATTTTGTTTGGGGGTTTTACCGAGTGATGGGAAGACCAGCTACAGATCTATTTCCCAGCTGTCCCAGGACATGGATTGTGAGGGTAGTTTTTATTCTTTTACCATCCCAGAAGAAAACAACTCTATTTAATAAAATAATAGCTTTTCTAAACATTTACTATGATAATTTGTGTTTCCTTTCACTTTCAAAAAAACTGGGAACAACATCCTAGAGGATCATCTATTGGAATAGAGGGGAAAACCCCACCTCAATTGGCACTAGTAAAAATTCTTTTAACTAAAGAGCTGGAAAGTATTCTCCAAAATTAAAATCTAGATATTCAGAAGAGGCCTCCTCCCCATCTTGCAACCTTTTCCTTGCTCCTGGTTATGACCATTACTCAGATCACATCTAAGATTACACAATACAGGGCTCAGTGGAGGAAACAAAAGAGATCATGGCATCCTGGAATGGTTTGGGTTGGAAGAGACACTAAAGCTCATCTCATTCTATCCCCTGCTATGAGCAGGGACACCTTGCACTATCCCAGGTTGCTCCAAGCCCCGTCCAACCTGGCCTTGGACACTTTCAGGGGTGGAGCAGCCACAGTTTCTCTGGGCAACCTGTGCTGGGCCTCACCACCCTCACAGGGAAGAATTTCTTCCCATTATCCCATCTAACCCTGCCCTCTGACAATGAGAAGCCATTCCCCCTTGTCCTGTCCCTCCAAACCCTTGCCAAACATCCCTCTCCAGTCTCTTGGAGCCCCTTTAGGCACTGGAAGGGGCTCTAAGTCTCCCTGAAGCTTCCTCTTCTCCAGTCTGAACACCCTCAGTATCACAACTGGGCTTTCCTCATGAAAATAAAGGGCATCTCTGGCACAGAAATTTGCATTTAAAATTGACATCTGTCACAGACTGAATGTTAAAACTCCATTGCTTTTGGTACAGAGGGAGCCAGTCAGATGCATCATTTCAAGCTGAGCATTTCTACTGATTTGGTATGAAACAAAATGCCATTTACACTTCAGAGCTTCTCCTCGGGTTCCCATTCCTGAGCTCACTGCTGGCATCATCCCTATTCCCAGCACTGTCTGGAGGAGCATTGTTGGAGGTTCTCCCAGCAAACCTGGTTTCTATAAGGAAGAATAAAAAACTATGTAAATGATAAAATAATCTGTCCACAGCTATTTCTTATAACTTTCACATTCAGTTAATCTTTTCAGCTACACTAAACTGTTCAGTTATATTGGATCATAGAGACAAAGGAGTTGGGTCAGAAGGGACCTTAAGGATAATTGAGTTCCAACGCCCTCTCACAGGCAGGGACACTCGATGAAAAAATTATTTGTTTCAGCAGTTTTAAGACTGTCCAAAGAGAGTCAAAGTTCCAGTGATGACCTTACACTGTTAGCCTGGATGTTTTCCATCTTCAGGAGCTGCTGCTGGGGCAGTGGCAGGTGGGCAGGGCTCTGCAGCAGCAGGTTGGATGTGCTCCCCAGAATTGAGCTCTGAGAAATTATTAAAACAAGTGTTAGATGACAGTCATGGAGAACAGAACACTCTTGAAACATTTTCAGATGTTACTACTTGAAGAAATTTAAGTTTTGAGTTAATTCAGCAAAGGAAAATAACAATTCCCTCCACACAACTAGTTTTGCTTCACTCACAGAAAGTTATTCCAAGTTGGTTTAAGCTCTCGACCACCCAGCCTTTTTTTTCACCTCACAACCCCTGGATGGCTTCTAAAGGCTCAAAGTATCTCCAAACACAGCCCAGACCCCACTGCAGCCCCTGGGAAAGCCAACAGGGAAGGCTCAGTGTGTCTGAAGCCCCCACAGTCAGACTGGATGGACTGGAGTTACCTCCAGTGCCAGTAAGATGAGCCCGGAGGAGCTCAGGGAGTTCTGAGCTCTGTGAAAAAGGGAGGGCTCCATTGTCTCATAACATTTGCTTTGTGCCCTGCACTGCAATTCTAATCCACAACCTCCACCTTCACAGGCCTCTGCTGGGACTGGAAGTGACTTTCACCCCCTGCTTCACAGTATCTTTGCCTCCAAACAGGAATATCCAGATATGTTCCTCCCCCTCCCTTTTTTCACTGGCAACTCTCTACATGATATCCTGCTCCAAAGCTATTAGAAAGCTTACAAATCACAGTGCTTACAGATTGGTAACTCCATAAAATAGCAATATTTTTAATTCAAAATATTCTGGGTCAGTTTCCCACCAGAATTGACCCACTTAATTAATAATTTTGTGGCATCACGTTCAGACTGTGCTACTGGTATATTCAGCATTATGTGCCCTGACCAGCACAGTGGCTTAAAATAAACCTGAAAAGACAAAATGATGTATGCTTTTTATTGAAATTGTCCTTCTGGCAGCAGCTCCTGAGCATGATTTGCCAGGTAAAATATAGGTTGTTCTACAAACCTTTTTGTACAGTGGTGCAAAAATAGATTTATGGGGCACTGACTGTGTCAAACCAGGACAAGCACAGCTTCCCTCATTTTTTATCAAGTCTCCTACATAGGAAAGATGACCAAAACCAGGGAATGAAGGTGGAACCCCAAAAGAAGGCAGCTCCTGCATAACACCTCACCAGTATTTTCAATCCTAGGTTGTGTCTCTGTATGGAAGGGTTAAATCCCTTGGGAAAAATCCTTAATATGGTCGTCTGGACTCAGAAATGTGCCTTTTAAAAAAAAGATGTGCCATATCTAGATTAGTTATGCAGCTGCTATTCTAATTGTCTTAGTGAATTCCAGTAGGAATTATCCAGGGCTGCTTATTGTCTCCAATGCCAGTGACTGTTCCTTCTAAACTTGGCTACATAACAAAGAAAATGTATCAGTCCAACTGTAAAACTCTGAGAAACACAAGAGTGGAAAAATCAGTTTGGTCAGAATCCTCAAAGGAAAGTCTCTGGGTTAAAAAAAGATTTAAAAACTGCTGTATGACTGAGGAAAACACCATTGAGAAAGCTTAAAATGTATTATTTTGGCACATGATAATTTATAACTAAGACAAATTAAATAAGTTGAAAGGTTACCTTGAGTCAAAAGATACTGGATGAATAACCTTCAAATCCCCTCTGCTGAATCATTTTTATTAATTATTTTTTTAAATGTTTTGGCATAATCATCCCAAATTACTGGCTCTTCTTTACAAAACCTCGAATACAAAATACAAACCCAAGACATGCAGGAAGTTGAATCAGTGTGACTGGAAAGGTGCCTGTTCCTCTAAATTGTGACAACATCTAAAGACAATAAAAACAGTGACCTGGTTCTCTGGCTTTAGAGAATAGTCCAAAGTAAGTCCACCTAAAACCAGAAAAATGTGCCTAATAGAAGAAATTGGGGTAATCAAACCACTGACAATAAAACTCAGGCTACCAGAGCAGGTTTGGAGCTGATTAAATGACAGGAAGCTCCCGGGATGAGAATTAGACTTGTAAGTCTCTGTACAGAGAAAATACTGAGTTGTTTGGCTGCACAACTCCAGAGCCAAAAACCACTGGATCATCATCAATCCCACTGTTAACTGTGTAAAACAGGCCTGTCTCCAGCTGTGAGCAGCAAACACTCACATTGCCTTCCAAGGAAGCACAGACTCTCCAAGGCTGAAGACAGAGCAGCAGTAACTAAACACACCAACTGAAAATGCCATTTTAATAAAAAAACCCAAAAGAATTATGTATTTTTAATATACACAAAAGCAGCTCAGCTGATGGAGCAAAATTAAGTAGCATTTATTCAGAAGTAATATACTCACCTACCAGCTTTTAGCAGAAAAAATAGGAAGGCTAAATATACTTAATATAAGGAATATCTCTGCATTTTAGTTTGGTCTTTTTAAGATCTGTAAGCCTGTGTTTGCCAAAAAAACAGCAGAAATAACTAATGTTTGAGGGGATTCTAGTTTTTAAATGTGAACTTCTGAAACATCAGAAATAGTAAGTCAAAGCAATTGAACTCCAGCCCCTTGTAGACATTTATGAAAATCCCTGCCATGAATATTAAATTTGAATTTTGGCTTCTGGCAGAGCTGGAGAAATCCCTGACAGAACTTCAGCTCAAGGCCAAGTGCATCCAGCAAGGAGGAGTTCTGGTGTGGGTGCATATTCCCATCTCCAATTTCCAGGGCAAACTCATCCCAGATATCCTTCACAGCATCTTTCAGAAATTCTGGTGTCCATCTGGAATTCCAGGCACTCTGAGAACACTTTAAACAGCTTATAACGTTGAGGAGGGTTATGACTAAGAAGCAACATCTGCAATTCACTATTTTTATGGCATATGTAGCACATTTTGGTCCCTGCAAGCTTTAAAATGAAGATAAACTTGTAGGTTTGAATAAGATAAAATAATCAAGTCTCTACAGGAAGGATGTATGAGCAGTTGCAAAAGAAAGGGATGTGCCAAGCTCCTTGAGATCAAATTTAAAGAGGAGGTTTTGACACTAATGACAAATTTTCTCTTCCTTTGCAGGTGTTAATAAATCAGAAGCTCAGTTAGGTCTAAATAACTCACTTGTGGATAATAAGCACAGCCTGCTCTTACACGCCCATCTCAAAACACAGAGCTTTCCTTACAGCTTTGATGAGAACACCTGAGTTTAGGTGTAAATTCTTACAACTTGCAGAGGATTTTTCATGCTAAGATCTTCCCAAATACCTATTTTGATGAAAGTTCTTTTGTCACATACCTGATGAACTTTGTTCAGCTGCAAAAAAGGGGGGCCAACTGCTGAATTTATAAGGTGAGGTAAAGCTGCAGATGCTCCAAGAACTGTTTCACAAACACACAAAAAAATTGCAGTATTTTACAAGTTAGGCAAGAAAAATCTTTGTAAGAGTTATTCTGTAATTTTAAATTTGGTTTCCATGAAATTTTCCTGTGTACCAAAGATCATTATAATAGAAACACAGACTCATTTAGGCTGGAAAAGGTTATGAAACTTTTCAATACCCCCAGCTTTGATACGCAATTCCCAGCATTTGAGAGCTCAAAGGTGCTCTCCAGGTGCTCCTCCAGAGCTGAGTTTCCATGGAAGATGGAGCAAGGCCTGAGCTCATTGCAGGGCCACAGCATTATCTGAAGTGCTCTGAAATTCAGCATTAGCTGAAGTGTTCCTTCACTAAAGTGGTCACTTCACACACCCTTTCTGTGTATCTTCTGTCAGTAGATTGTGTCACACACTCTTAGCTGACCCCCCACTTGACTCTCCTAATTACCTGGTCCTGTTTCTAATATTTTCACCATTTGAAATGCAATTATATTGGGTTTTATGTGTTTATTCACACCCCTCTAATGAGAAGACAGAAATGTTTTTGGCTAATGCTGTTATGAAATGCTCTGCACAGCTATGGCAGCATCCAGGTGAATAAAGACTTACATTGGGAATAACAGCAGAAAGACTTGGGCTGCAAAATTCAATCTACAATCAGATTACAACTCACCAAAGTCTTGCAAAGGATATTCCTTTCTAAGCCCATTTCTGCTATAAACATTCAGAGGTCACAGATTTAATAGGAAGACATCTGTAGGTAACACTAAATTCTGCCCGAACACAAGAGCGTAGCAAACCACCTCTTGCTTTTGCTTTCATAAAATGTGAAACTGTCTATTCAAATACACTGAAACAGTCTGCACAGGTTTTAAACAGAATTTCTACTTCTCTGCTGAAAGCCTTTTACCACTAAGAACAGGGTTTCTTTTTTGAATTCTATTTTAAAACAACTCACCAGGTTTAACAGCATGGCCACGCAACTGGGGCTGCAGCAGCATCTGCAACATTGCTGGATTATTAAAACTCTTCATGATCTGCACTGGATTTGGTTCTGGGAGCAAGCCTTTCCTATTGTTCCTCATCTCCAATGAAGAGAGATACAAAAATGTTAGAAGTAAGAGAACACAAAGAATATATGTAAATCCCTCAAACTTGTGTGATGTCAATGTACACATTTCATTTGATACAGAAAAAAACATTTCCTTCCCTATTTCCAGCTCTTTTTCCTTCCAATGAAACACCTAATAAACTATTTCAAGAGAACTTCAAGCATATTATTTCTCCTGAGATACATTTTTTTTTATCTTAAACTGAAACAGAGTTATCAACAAAGGAGAGTAAGAGAGGCACTGTTGGCATGAACATCATATACTCACTTATAGCAGACTACTCATCTCCTTATAAAGATGTGGTTTAGACCTGGCTGAAGTGATGAAAGTGTTCTGCCTCTGCATTTAAGACACCTCCATGTAACACTTATCACACAAATTATTTCTCTAGGAAATTATTTGATAAGACATGTGGGTGCAAAAAGCTTTCTTTTATACTGAGCATGAAATTAAACTATTTCTTCTCCTACCTTGAAATTTATCTTAAAACTGACAAATTCTTCCTCTCTGTTTTAAACCAAGTTTTAGCTTGTCAAACGACTGCACTTCCAGTTAGTTTTGTTTTGAACTAGAACGATTCCTCTCACAGAAAATTAAATTTACTAAAATCCCAGAGATATGTAGGTGTAACTTTGTGATATCTTATGGCCATATTTTGTCCTTCTTCCTGGCACTATGTGTCCATGCTTTGCCCTGGAAAGAGCCTGAACTGGACTGACTATACAGAATGATGGAATCAGGGAATGATGTGGGTTGGGAGAGACCTTAAAGATTATCTCATTTTACTCCTTTGCCATGGGCAGGGACACCTTCCACTAGACCAGGTTGCTCCAAGCAACTCAAAATGTTGACGCTTCCGAAAGCTTGGCTCCTTTTCCTAAAGCAAAGGAATCCCTGTGTCCCAAATCTGGTGTCCAACCCATCCTGAGGAGAGGTGTGCAGGTATCTCACCATCCTCTGTGCTGCTATAAGTGCTGCCAAGGTGCTCCTTCCCGGTGCTCCGGGGGCACAGTAGGACACCTGGACTCTCCTCCCTTTGAGGGTCATTCCATCCGTGAGCTCCCGGACCTTCTCCGCCTGCTCCGCGCTCTCGTACTCGACCACGGCGAAGTCCCCGGTGCCACTGTCCTCATCCTGGGCAAACTGCAACAACAGAGCAAAAGGCCCAATTCCAGGGACTGCCCTGCAGCATTTCCACTTATCTCTTCCAAAACCTTTCCCAGCTGATACCGAGATCAATGCCCACCCAAACCAGGATGTTTCTGTCTCAAAAGTGTTACTTCTAAGTTGAATTCCATGTTTTCATAGGACATTTGGCATTCATACTTATCTACTTCAATTCCCACCTCCACTCCAATCTAAATGGTACAGTCTTAACCTGTGCCAGGGGAGATTTAGGTTAGACATTAGGAAGAAATTCTTTACAGAGAGAGGGATCAGATGTTGGAAGGGGCTTCCCAGGGAGGTAGTGGAGTCACTGTCTCTGGAGGTGTTTAAGAAGAGACTGGATGTGCCACTCGGTGCCATGGTCTAGTTGACAAGGTGGTGTCATGTCAAAGGTTGGACTTGATGATCTCAGGGGTCTTTTCCAACCTAGTTGATTCTGTGATCTCATGGAGAACCTCAGCTACAGAATGCATTCAACACATATACAGAGAACAAAGGAGGAATCAGAAGCAAATCGTAAATACAGCTGGATGCTGCACCAATTTTTATTGTGCAGGGTAAGAATTATAAACTCATTATTCTTCAGTTTTGAAGCCTGCAATAATCAAAATGTCATTCATCAAGCTCCAGGGCAGCTGCTGAAACATGCAACAATGCAAATTCCACCAGTATTGGTGCCTTTTAGGAGAATATGAAGTCTGTGGTTGTGTCTACTGCCAAGAGAAGATGCCAGACTGATCAATCAAGCAGACTGGAAACAGGCTTACGTGTTACACAGTGCTCTGGCCTTTGTTTGTAGAGTTTTATAGCAGAATGAGCAGATTTAAATTCAACAAAAAAAGAGGGTGACAAGGGAGGGATGAAGCTTAGGTCAAAATCTCCAGTCCCAAAATAAATAGAAATGATACCCTGACACCAGCTCTGAAGGGGAAGAGAGGAAATCTCTAGATTTCACTGGATGAAAACAACCTGTTCCCAGTTAAGAAGCCCTACAAACTTACAATAAGAGCTGAACATTAAATTTCAAAGCTTTTGAAGAAAAAGGGGATGGTCAGATGTTTATTGGCACTGTTAAAGCCAGAGCTCTGGAGAATACATATATTGACACACTGATACATAAACACAGATGTGTTTATGCTAAATATATCTCTGTGTGTCTATATTTTATATTTGTATTTTACTTCAATATCAGTTTAGGTGCACTGGTAAAGACCTGAGGTACTTGTGAATAGACAGGTTTGAAGCTACGGAACATACATATTTTACTTTCATTGAAACTAAAACACAGTTAAAAACTCCCTTTACATGTGGAACTGCAGCTACCAATATTCTTGCAAAGAATTCAGGTATTTTAAACTTCCCAAGCAAACAGGACTGAAGAAAAAACCCTCTGCCCCTATCAGATAACAGTGGAGACCTTCTTGAAAGGTTTTCTGGTCCATTTTGTTGAAGCAAAGGATAAAACACTTTCCTCTAAGTCTTGGGAAAAGCCATTTTCCCTAATATCAGTGTGTAAGTGTCTGGCTTCAGCTCTTCCTGACTGAATATTTCTATTGTCAACAGAGGAAAAATCAAACTGATTTAGAAATAAATGGTAACTGTGGAATAAGATGAAATAAATCAGAGTTTATGAAATAAAATGAGTAAGATTAAATAAAATTAAATAAACCAGAGTTTATTTTGTGAGGTCAGCTAAATATCTCAGGTAAAAGATTGCATCTACATGATGAAATACTGATCAGAGTTACGAGCAGAACTAAGCCATGAAAGCAGCACAAGAGGTATACTAAAGAGTTTTCCAGACAAAAACACTTCTCCCAGTCATTTTCTATTGGAATTCCCTCCCCACCAAGGTTTCTGCTGCTCTGTCCTCTCCTAATTTTCCCCTTATATCTCTACCCCTCATGTTACATCCCCCTCCTTGCTTTTTTCACACTTTGTTGAGTCTTCCTCCTCCTCTTTTCTTTGTCCTTAATTTCTGGGTCACCTCACTCATAATTAATTAGCACTGGTGATGAGAATTCATCCACCCTCTTCCCTTTTACATCTATCAAATTTGAACTATTGCTTACCTACCTCCTCCCTCCTGATTTTACACAAATATGTATTTAGTGCCATTTACTGATGCAGACACAAACTGACTCTCCTTACCTACTCCACGTGTGACCCGAGTATTACTATGAAGGTAAAAATCAATTTTTAAGTGCCTCTAACTGCACAGCAGAATCCTGTTAGTGAAACCCACCTTTATCAGAGAAGCCTGGTATTCTCTGAAGTTCAGAATTTTTAAAAGGATGTTGGAAATTTGTTGGAGGAGCTGATAACAGATTATCTGACAGCTGGAAAAAAAGCCCTGAAGTAAAAGACTTAAAGAGATCAATCTGTTTAGCTAATTAAACAAAGATTGAGCAAGAGACTTGATTGCAGCATTTAATACCTTCTTACAGGAAGAAAATAACAGGGAGTAAAAGCTCCTCAATTTAGTTATCAGTGATGTAAAGCTGAAGCCAGATGCATCCAACTGAGAAAAGAGACATGAGTTCAAAACAGCAGAGGATGGGCAGTTTCTGGAAAGAGTTACCTTCAATTTGTTGATCTCCTGGTATATTTGGATCGAGTAAGTCTAAGGATATTTACTCTGGCCAACTACAAATTACAGGGTCTCGAAAAGAGCACTAAGGAGGATGTGGTGGCCTGCAGGTGGTCAGGCCAGACAGCCTGATGGTCCTTCTGTTCTCAGACTGGGAATCTCTGGGTTCTTATCCTTTAATTCCTGAGCAGCCTCCCAGTCCCTGAGCAGCCTTCTGAGAGACTTAAGGAAAGAAAAAAACAACAAAAGCAACCCAGTAATGGAAATCACAACTGTGTGACTACAAGGAAAGCTTTCTTTCCACTGCCTGTTTCTGGTACTCTGTCTGCACCACAACATTTATTTGTGGTCTCATATCTCCCAAGCCATGAGGACGAGAAGGAAGTATTTACACTACAAAGGCCCGTAAGGATCTACCTCTTCTGTACCTGCAAACTTTCCTACAGATGTACCACTTCCATCCCTGGCAAGCCCAGCACTATGAGGTGCCAAGTCTGTATCCTCCTCAGTTAGGTAAAACACAGGTTAAATATCTGTGGAGGTTTCTTAATATATTCATTAAATCCATATATACATATATCTCAGGTAAACTACTTCATACATTCTGGCTTTAAAAAGCAATAAACCCATCACTTTTAAAGCTCTCAAAAAATAAAATTATTTTCAATAAATTACATGAGGAGGGAATGTCTTACTAACATTTTACTGGCACTTCATGGGAGTGGTATCCTGCAGAATTCCCAAATATGCATCACTGCAAATCCATACCAGTAAAGCATTTGTATCACATCTCACATTGCAGATGCACAACTATTCACTAGTTCTATGAAAAACAAAAGCCAAAGACAGTAAGAGTGAAACCTTGATTTTGCATAAGATAGAAACCCAACACACCTGGCAGAACACAGGTTTGTACTTCAGGGAGAAAGCTTGAATCAGTTCTTTTGAGTCAGCACAGTCTTTTTGTAATTTATCTACACAAAGGCACTTGGAGTGAATAAGGTTTGTGGTCAGCTGGTTCACATCCATCCACTGTGCAAACAGAGTGCTCTCTTCTAACTGCTTCCCCAGAAGTTCCAGCCTGGCCTTTGCAGCAGAGTCCTTCTTCATGTATTCCACAAAGCCATAGCCCTTGGAATGGCCAGTGACCTCACTGTACACCAAGAAACACCTCTCCACGTTGCCATAGGCACGCACAAGTTCTTCAAACTCTTCCAAGGTGAATGAAATGGGTAAATTAGTGATGCACAGCAAGGCATCCGTGGGTTGGAGCTGCACAGATATTTCTTTTCCACGCAGGGAATACTGGTGGAATTTCCGAATGGCGCTCTGAGCCTGCTCTCCATTCAACAGAGTAACGAATGCTGCAAGAGACCAACACAGGTTATACCTCCTATAGCTTCAGAGGCACTTACTACATCTCTGCCTCCCCCCTGAAAGCCCCAAAAGGAATAAGAGTTTGAGGTTTACCCCAAAGATGCAATAGATAAATATATATTACAGCATATCTGTCTAAAGGCTGGAATTATTAATTGAACATCACGAGCAATTAACTCAACAAGTGGCTACAGAAACACAAACACCTCTACATGTAACCCAACAAAATTTTATACTTGGGGAACTAAATTAGATGTTCTACTATTAGTCTATTATTTACTATTCTACTATTAGACTGTTATTTGCTATTATTTACTAAATTAAATATTCTACTATTAAATATTCTACTGAAGTCAGCACATTACAGATACTATTGAATATCTTTGCTGACAACAACCTCCAGTTCTCACTTTGGGGTTATCAGATCCTTTTTGGGTTTTCAGCCCATAAAACACTTCACACAATCACAGACTGGATGAGGTTGGCAGGGTCATCTCGTCCAACCCCTTCCTCAAAGAGGATCACCCACCAAAAGACCATGTCCAAATGGGTTCTTGGTATCTCAAAGGATGGAGACTCTACCACCTCTCTGGGCAACCTGGTGACCCTCACAGGGAAAAAGTGTTTTCTGATGCGAGCAAATTGCAAAAGCATCTGGGTATGTTTTCCCCTCAGGCACACATGGTTTGTCCTAAGAGAAGCCTCAGGATCAGTTTTTCAAGGGAATTCAGACAGCTGGCACTAGTTTTGTTCCAAAGAGACACTCACTAAGGGAGACCACAGTGAACCAACTCACTTCTGGCCAACATCATTAAATTTCCAACTTCCCACAGCCTTCAGTGAAAGATGAAAAACTGAGCCACCAACAGAGGCCCTGAGGGACAAAGAGTCCAAGTGATTGACAGGAGAGAAGTTGATGACTTCATACACTGCAGATGATGTTCCTCACAGAATTTAAGCATCTATCACTGGAAGTTTTTAAGTTCTTACCTGTCCTTTTATTTCTGTCCACATAACAATACTTGATTTCATAATCTTTAAACAAGTCGTGGATTTCCTGCAAGAGAAAAGTACAAGTGGCATCAGGTAAACAAGTCACCAGACCAAACAAGTGTACAAATTCATCTGAATTTCAAACAAAATCAATAACTTTCCCAACAAACAAAATCTCACCATAGAAACACTATCAAATATTTGTTTCTAGAAGAGCTGGTTATACTACTGCAGCAATGTTTTTATCTCCTGTAAAAAACTGGCTTACTGAATTTGATTAATTTACTTTTCACTCTGTGAGGTCACATAAACACAAAAGGGTGTCCTGTCAACTGTCTTTTGCTAAAGACAAATAACATCACAGTTCATTAAATAGCAAAACCCCCTCAGTTTCTCTGAAGTACAACTGGCATAGCTAAAATACCACACAGACAAGAAATACCGGCAGCATCACATCACACAGTTTACTGCGGGTTGGCAACGCTGGCCCAAAATCCAACAGTTGCTTTAGTTTCCTGTGACTGCTCAAGTTCACTTCAACAGATTTTCACTCTTTTAATAATAGATATTCTTTCACCCAGCAGATAATTGTGCCCAGAATACCCCCTGGAAAGTATCCTCTATCAGTTACTGTGCAGATGCTCAATGGAGAATTGATCCCAAGAGTGTTATTTGCTCCCACTGTTTAATGGGGAGAGAGGAGTGGGAGGGATGGGTAAAGCAAGTGTAAGAGGTGTGTACCAGCTTGCTATAGCTATTCCCAACAAAACCAAGGTGTACATGCCCCACAAAACTCACAAGTGATTGGCAGTTTAGTGGTGAGAAAGCAGAGATGAACATTCTTTACCCCCAACGACAAACCATGAGGAGTAACCTGGAGATATGTATTTACATATTTATATATATATTTAGTTTGATAAATTCCACACACAATAGCAAAAGACCATTTGAGCAAGCAAAACCAGCTTTGTCTGAAAGTTTATTTGCAGCCAATTTCCAGCAGCCAGGTTGGTAATTCAATATATGGAGCCTAAAGGTTAATTGGGTTCTCCGTGACGGGTATCAGGTGCACACCTTTTAGTCAAGCGAGCACCTATCTCTGGTTTCACTAGTTAACAGCTGTCAAATACTACATTAATAAAATATGGCAGCATTTCTCCAGCTACCAGACACTCCTCTAATCAGGTGTGATAAAGATGTGGTTTCTGAAAAGCAAAATATGCCAAAGATTCAAGCCAGGTAGGGGATTTGACTATGGACATCTCCCTAAAGAGAATTAGATGGTTCATTCTCGGTCATGAGAAACTAAGAAGACACTTTCTGCGCTGTTTTGTGCAGCTCAGCTGTACTGTGGCACTGAACACTCAAAAAAAGTTATTTCTGTCCTACTTAGAAGAAGAGGAACATATTTGCCTTTTGCATTTCCTGTACTATTTTACAAGAGTAACACTGGTAGTTTTTTATGATGATTAGGTAGCAGGAAATACTATTTCAAACAGCTTCGAACACTGTTTTGAAAGTCATCTGTGAATCAGATGATTCCACATGATTTCCCAGTTACTGCCTGAAACTTTGAGAGGAAGAAAAGTCTGTACTGAACATTTCTTTGGGGATAATTATGAGGTTTCATGTAAAAAATTATGAGAACATAAGGAAGATTTAAAATGAAAACCTGATTTAAGCAAACACATTTCAGTAAAGATTTGAACAGCATTTTCCACAGGTAGTTGCAAACACTGCCAGGTTTGTGCAAAGGGCTCTCCCAGGAAGGTGTTTGTTCTTGTACTTTCCTGGGCCCTTGGCAGGGCTCAGACCTTCACCTGTGGGACTGGGTTTGTGCAATGCTTCAGTGAAAGCATTTTTCACATAAACACCGTTTGTGACAATTTACAGAAGTAAAACACATCATTGCCAGCTCTTAGGCAAATGTGTACTCCTTAAATTAAACAGATGTAAATATCTGTGTTAGACTGAGGTCCTTTTACTTACTGAGCTGGCTTTTGAACTCAGGCACTTCTGTAAAGTTAAACCTCCAATATCTCCCAACACTCAGGTCTGGTAGATGTTCTCAGGTCCTGTTCCCCACAGCTCAGAGTACTGTCAGGGAAAGGAACAGGAACACTTCACCCTGCTCCAATCCAGGTTCAGTACTCAACACAGCTGATCCCTCTGATCCAAACTTGGGCTAGGAGGGAATGTTTACTCTGGGAGGAGAAAAGGGTCATCCAAGTCAGGTGTACTCTCTGGTGCGACCCTATTAACTTGCAAAGAATGTAAGCACAGGGCTGTTTCCCTGAGAACAGCACAAACAAACAGCCACAGTTCCCCGTTCCCAACCTCCCGGCAGCTCCTACCTTCTCCTCCGGGCATCCCGGCCCCGCACCCCCAGGAAACAACAGGGAGCACTTGCCTTGCCTTAACTCCTGAGGTTTAGGAAAGCAGGAGTGATACCAGTGGTGGTACCACAGGTGAGCCATCCCCAGTGCCACCACCTTGTCCATGCTCGCAGTGCCCACATCTGAACCTTCTGTTTGCAAAACTGCTTCTCCTAATGGATTTTTTCCTCTTCAATAAATGAATGAATCTACTAATCTACAAAAACTGACTGATAACTGCCACAATAACACTGATTTAACTGCATCTTATTAAGTCTAATCAAAACGTCTACCAACACGTTGGGCTGAAGGCTCAGCTGCCCTGGGTGCCACACACTGGACATATATATATTATACAAAATATATATAATATATAATAATTTGACAGCAAAAATGTTAAGCTATCTGGCAGATATACTGCAGTCACAGATCCTGTGGAGTTTCTACAACAAATAAGGCCAGGTTGGATGGGGCTTGGAGCAACCTGGGATAGTGGAAGGTGTCCCTGCCCATGGCAGGGCGTGGAATGAGATGGGCTTTAAAGTCTCTCCCAGCCCAAACCAGTCTGGGATTCTGTGATTGTGGAACAGAAATATAATCAATAATGTTTAACTACTATACAGCCCCTTAAAACTTTACAGTTCTTAAAAGCAGATAATCTTATAATCAGCAAAAATTAAAATCCTAACTAGAAAATATATTCAGTTCATACATTAAAATTAGCAGAAAAAGCAAACTCAAATATATTAAAGGGAGTTTAAGAGAAATGACTAGCAAATATAAGATCAACATACTTTTAAAAAATTACTTATTTACTACTGTAAATGTGATCCTGAAACACTTCAGTTCTTGGCCTGTCCTGTCTTGTCTTGGACAGAAAAACTGGCAACATGAGTTTTCACCACATACTATCAATTTGAAACTTTCATCTCTGAAACGGAAAGAATTCCTTCCTTAGAGAGGATCTTTGTGCTTTAGGCCCTGCATTGTTTTAAACACAAATGAGAAAGGGAGTCATTCACAGGCACATGTGCCCTATTTATCAAATTAGCAAAGCTGAGTGTATTATTTCTAATAAAACCAGCTTTTCCTACCCAGGATCTCACAGTGCAAGAGGAAAATATTCCAGAAATTCTCAGTCCTCACCTGGAACAATAAACCATTATATAAAGCCTACAGCACCCTAAAGCCAAGCATTTTTCTCTCTCTAGATGTAAAACTAGACGTAATACTAAATGTAATAATTGTGTTATTCTGGCAACAAAATATTTAACAATTCTAAGGGTGCCTGGCCAGATTTGTGCAGTGAACTTTAGGGAAGTTTCCAATATAAACACTGGACAAACCTGGTCTATAACTTGGCTCTCACTGAGTAGCTAAAGGTCTAAACTTCACATGCGTATTCTTGAAATGGGAATCAATTAAGTTTTAAGTAGCTATTTGGCCAACCAAGAAGTTTTAAGTCATCTCAGAACTGAAAAAGACTTTGTTTTCATTTGTGCAGGCAGGGCAGGAAAGGAGAAGTTCTCAGGAAAAAAAAAAAAAAAAGCTTTACATTTACAAGTGATATAATGGGGTGTTCATTTAATTCAAATTTTAGACCACAAAATCTTGAGTCCAGGACATGACACATGGATTTTACTGCAGATACAAAAATATAAAATAAAAAATAGGTAGCAAGCATGAGAACATCAACACAGTTTAAAATAATAATCTGTTACTGCACGGAAAACTTGGAGACTGTTGGAGACAAGAACACACAGCACCAACAAGAGGGTTAATAACAAGGCAGAAGGACGGATATAAAGTGCAGTTTTAACAATCTCTTGACCGCAGAGGAAGGTCTCAAAATTTCACCTGGGCACCAACTGCTGAATAAACCCTCTCTTGCTCCTAAGAAGAAACCTTCCAAAGATTGGGCTCACCAAACCACACAGTATAGTTTGTTCCTGCACAAATCGTCAAATGTTTTTCACTGTTGAAGTTCTCAGAGGAGCAATGGCTGTAGGATCAAGTCTAAGAGGTGCAGCAGATGTCAACCTGCCCAGGCACCCAGTTCCACCTCAGCACATTCCCCCTCCATTTTCACAGTCCCAAAATATGAAACCAGAAATAAATTCAAGCCTGGAATTCCAGGTCATAAACTGCCTTTAAGGCAAAACTTTTTGTTTGAGAATTGATTTGACTTTTGTAAGATCATAACCCTCAAAGATCTTCAGTAAAGTAATAGAAGAAAACACTAGGACAGAAGATCAACAGTTTCTCAATAAACTTATGATGGACGTGGAATGAAAAACTTATTTCTCTGATCTTCCAGAGACATATTAGTGTTGGTAAGAGGAACACTATGGGACTGGAAATTAATTCCATCATCCTGGGTATACTGAGCTAAATGAAAAAGGAAAAAGATAATGAAAGAGGTAACATGAGACAGCACGGGCTCAAAGCAAAGCAAAGCAAGCAAGAAAATCAAAAAGTATGTACATCCTAAGGCAGGAGAGCTGCTCACTCTGCACCAAGTGTGCCTTTCATATTCAGTTAGTGTGACGGAGGAGTAACGAAAACACAAAGGCTCCTTCTACTCAAGGGTCTGGCTTACAACAGGTTGGGAGACAGCACTTCCTCAAATCATCACACTTCATTAAAGGCTTTCCATCAAAACAGAACAAGGAACAATCATGGTTAATTTAGGGAGAAAGCGAGAAAAAACCCCAAAGCCCCAGTAGAAATAGCGTCATTCTAAGTGGTGATTTGTCTTTTGATCAGGAACAGACACCCATGAAAACACTGGATGGGTACATCAGGTTCCAAAACACAAAATAAATCCCTATCCCAGGTGGACTGCACCAGTTTCTTATCAACACCTCAATATTCCCTCATTCTATAGATTCTGTCATGCCCAAGGAGAACCACAGGGTATTAAAATAATTAACCAGTCCTATTTTGCTTCATGTCCTACATTAAAGTAGAGCATCCCCCCCATAAGATTTATTTTCTAGCCTCAGCTTAAAGAACAAATGTAACACAGTAGCATTTAGGGATAATCAAGCACAGAAAAAAAAGGTTGGGAGCAAGTGCATCTTTTACTGGCTCCTCAGCTGCAAAGAGGGGAAGCAAAAAGCAAACAGCCCTTAGCAGAGAACATTGGTGATTTTGACATAAATCTCAGTAATGATAAGCAAATTAGATATCCCAGGGTCTAGTTTTCCTAACAGGAAGTCCATGGGATAGGAACTGGTACACCAAGGTACCACCCTGCTGATTGCACTGCAAGGATGAGCCACTGCTCCTATGAAGTTCATCAGCCACAAATAAGGAACCACTAACACTGAAAAAAAATTACTTGGGAAAACCAAAACTAATTCTTCTAACCCACTGGAGCAATTACAAAAAAAAACCCCAAAAGAAACAGAAGCTGATTATTAGTCTGAGATTAATTTTATATATATTATGTTTTATTTTACTTCAATAATTGAACTGTTCTTAACTCACGAGCTTTGCTTTGGCCCCATTCTCCTCCCCATCAGGGCAGTGGGGGAGTGAACGAGCTGGTAAAACCACTACAGCCATACAAACTCCAGCAAAATGAAACTTCCAGTTTAGTGAGGTACAACTTCACTGACTCTTGTCATCCTGAGGTTCTTGGCATCTCTATACCAGTGAAGGAGAGAAGAAGGTATTATTTCCTTCCCTCCCTCTGCCCAGAGCAGTCCTTCTGCCTCCAGAGCACTCAAAGCAGTTTTGTGATAGTTCCAAGGACCTTCTGTTTGCAATTTCTGCACTTTCAACATCATATGTGACTGCTTTGCTATTGGAATGGATTAGATGATTGATCAGAGATGATGGCTCAGGGAGATGCTCACACAACAAGGCAATCCAAGAGACTCCCAAACAAGAGCTTGCTGATTCATTGCCAAGTGCTGACCAGAATAAAAGGAACTACTACAACCATGCTTACTTTTAAGTCCCTTGGCAAAGATTCCTGATATAAACATCAGCCTTACCACAACACCACATCAGAGGATATTAATGCTAACAAGAACAGACCCACTATCTGATATTTTTCAAAAAGACTAACACCAACAGGACAACGTCTGTCTAACTGTAAAACATCACATATCACTGCCCTGCCCTAATGAAGCCATAAAACAGTGACTGGTGAGAGCACAAGACACTTCCCCACCCTCGCCAGAAGAAGTGCAAATTGGAGGAGTGTGTTGTGCAAAGACTGTGGGAGGAGAGAGGATCCTTGCTCCAGAACGTGAAGGCTGGAATGCCGAGCAACGTTCTTGAAGCTCCATGGAGAAACAGGAAAGCCTGTTGTGACCCTCCACACAGCCTACTCCACACTCAGTACTGAACTCTGGTTTTAAGACAGTAGTCACTGCTACAGATACCAACGGGGTTTCATCTCAAGATTTAGGGAGGTCAGCACCAGCCTATGAGCATTCTCAGATCATTATCACACCACACAGTTCAGGTACTGTGCTGGAGAATCTCATGAGGATGAGTCTGGGGAAATAACTGGCAACTCTGAAGACTTCACTGTAATAGCTCAGTACAAAATCGATTGACTTGCCAACTAAACAGTAAATGGAGACTTTGCCTTCAGTAACAATGAAGGTGTAACAATGTCTACCACAGATTTGTCACAAAAGAACCTTTCCGGGGTTGTAGTGAGAGAAATGCCTCAACAAACACTAATCCTGCAACTCATATTTGCAGGTTGAGTTATAAAGCCCAATGAAGAATGCTCTTGACATAGTTAGACTTAATTTGTTCTCCCTTTGGATTTGTTCCATACTGACACTCATAGCTCCTAAGGGAACACTGACTGACTTAGTAGTGTGACAGACTGCAAAGTGCTTTCTTCAGGCTGTCCTTCCTCAGGATTTTCTTAGGAACATACATGTTGCCAAATGCATTCAGGGAGAAATCCCACTTGCCAAGACTTAAACATGGGCAACCTCTGTCCCTCAACAAGTCACCTGCACCTAAAGCACTGAACACTTCTGACACTTCGAGATCTCTCTCTTTGGTTTCTAAGATTACAAACCTGTGGAACCCTGTTTCTGGGTCAGAAACTTCACTGCTAAGGTACATTTCTTCCATGGCCTTAAGATTTTTTTTCATTCAGTTTAACACGGGCGGAACTCCAAAGCTAATTGAGGATTGTAAGTACAGTAATAAATAAAGTTAATATGTAGCTACAACTGGCAGAGGAGTTTATTTGTTATATAATTTTATATGATAAAAAGCATGGGTTTTTTCTTACAAAACTGAGTATCTACACCAATCTCTATCAGCAGAACAGTAATTTCTCACTTGAAAACTATTCTGGTAAATCTTGGCCTTACTTTTTACATAACAACAACGAATGGCAGCAAAGCCAACACCCCAAGGATTAGAGATGAATAGTTACATTTATGAAAACCTATTCTGGGAGACTTGGCTGCATTTCAACCATGTTCATCTCCCTCCCGACGGTGAATAAACTGGCCAGGTCAGAAATAGTTTCACTGATTTCACTTGGCTCACCAATCATTTCCAGAAGAAAACAGAAGACAAAACAGTGTTTACCAAGGGTGTTAATTTGCAGCAAGTGTTAAATTTCATGGTAATTTTTGGAAATGCATGACAGCCAAATACACAGGTAGACTTAACATGCCTGACCACAAACATACCTCTCATTCCCAAAACCGCTCCAGGACAGAAACTTTCTCGCTACAGCACAACTCTTCTGCCTTTATGTGCCAACACCAGTCACTCAACAATGTTAAAAATTAAAATGACATCTTTTAAACTGTTTTTCAGGATCTCTACATGGTAGTACTGTTCTACAAGGCAACATTAGAACCTTACATTTGTAGAAAAAGACATCTAAGTGCTGCTTTCAAGTCACCAAAAGAAAATAGGAAACTTCCAGAAAACCATGTGGCTGGCAAATTTGATCTTAATGTTGGTATTTCTTTGTCTGACCAAGCAATGCCAAACTCAGTGACTTTCATACAGGAGAGATGTGCCTTTAACCAACCCATAAAGTACCTTCTGTGCGCAATGGGAGCAAGTAACAGAACTTCTGGAGTGTCACAGAGTGATCCTGCCCTGAATATCCACAGCAAGCATCTGGTGACATATCAGTAAGTCCTCTCTGTCAACACCATGACACGCAATGGCTTCTTGCAGAGACGATGAAGATTATCAGGGTTCTCCACGTTGTGAGTTTGCTATTGATCAGGTCATTAGGTTGCTATAAATAGAGGTGCCTAAAACATCCTAACAAAACTGTCATAACCTAAAACTCTCACCGCCTACCACCACACTACAGCACAGCCAGAGAACTAAACATCAGTAAATGCAAGCTGGGTACTGTGGGTTGGATTACACCGACTGCTGAAAGATTCTCTCCCAGATGAATAGTCCCTTTCTCCCGGAGTTATGGAGAAACCGATAGTCTGCACGTGCTGCTCTTACCCGCAGGTAGGAAAACCACCTGTGCTTTAGAGAGCACGGAGAGACAGGAGGAGCAGACAGGACAAAAGCTGCACTTACTTTTTTTTTTATATACTTGTGCATCAAGTTGTGTATTTGGAACTGGTAAAGTGACTGTGCAGCTAAATCACCTCAACATCTGACTCACAGCACTCGGTTGAAGAGTTCAGCGATCTTCTCCTACAGCAGTAGGACAGCAGTAATTCGAGCGGAATTTTCCTAAACCACCATCAGACTGCGGAAAACCGCTTTCCCTGACTACACATGGCTCACCCCACAATGGAAGAAAAAAAAAGAAAAAAGAAAGAAAGAAAGAAAAAAAAAAAGCCAGACTTGAAGGTTTTCAGCATCGCTTTCGCACAGCGAGCGGCCGTGCTGCAGTGCCCTACCTGGCGGCCGCAGGTGCTCCGTCCCCCGGCTCGCCGCACACCGAGCCCCGCGGGGTCGCTCCCTTATGCCCCGGGGCGCGGACCCGGCTCTTCCCGGCGGGTCGCGCCCGGCCAGCCCGGCGTCGCCCTCCGGTTTTGGCGGCGGCTCCCGAGCCGGAGCCGCTCCCCGCAGGCACGGGCGGTAACAAAGCCCCGGCACAGCCGGCGCCGGGAAGCGCTGGCGCGACCCGCAGCCCACGAGCCCGCGGGGAGCAGCGGCAGCCCCGCGGCTCCCTCCCCCGCGCCGCGGTCCGGCTGCGGGGAGCCCGGCCGTACCTGGCTGCTGCTCTCGGCCGGCAGGTTCCTGAGCAGGATCTTGCGGCGGTTGCTGAGCTCGCGGCGGGTGCTCTCCAGCCGCCTCGCCACCTCCTCGGGGCACAGCGGCGGCGGCTCCGCGGGCAACCCCGCGCCGCGCTCGGCTCCCGCCGCCATCTTGCAGCGAGCGGGGGGAGCGCGGGGCCGGAGCCGCCCTCGCCCTGCCCCGCCCGGGGAGCCTGAGGAAGCCCCCGCCGCCCACCCCGGCAGGGCCGGCCCGACCCCCGCCGGGGCCACGGGGCCCCCCGAGGAGGGAGGGACGCGGGGTAGCGGGGGGCGGCTCCAGGCGAGCTTGGCGCTGCCTGTAACGGAGCTCCCGGGAGTGTATGCGGATAAACGGGAATTTCACAGAAGCACAGGATGCGTCAGGTTGAAAGTGACCACAGTGACTCGTCTGGTCCCACCTCCCTGCTCCAGCAGGGTCATCCCAGAGCACATGGCACAGGACTGTGTCCAGAGGGTTCTGGAATATCTCCACTAAGGGAGACTCCACACCCTCTCTGGACTATTTGTTCAGTGCTCAGTCACTGCACAGCAAAGTTCTTCCTCGTGTCCAGGTGGAACTTCCTGGGCATCAGTTCCTGCCCTTTGTCCTGTTGCTGGGCACCACCGAGCAGAGCCTGGTTCATCTTCTGACACCTCCCTTTAGATATTTAATGAGGTCCCCTCTCAGTGGCTGCTCTCGAGGCTGAGCAGCCCCAGCTCCCTCAGCTTTTCCTTGTCACAGACATGCTCCAGTCCCTTCATCTCTGTAGCCTCCACTGGATCTGCTCCAGGAGCTCCACGTCCCTGCTGTCCTGAGGAGCCCAGAACTGGACACAGCACTCCATCTGTGCCTCACAGCGCTGAGCAGAGGGCAGGATCACCTCCCTGACCTGCTGGCAATGCTCTTCCTAATGCACTCCAGGATTCTGTTGCCCTCCTTGGCCCCCAGGACACACTCCTGGCTCAAGGGCAGCTGGTTGTCCACCAGGACCTTCTCTTCATTCCACCCCCACAGTAACACATCTTCAGATGGATTTTAGGGAACAACTCGAGTGCTCTGGAGGAATGTTGGGGCTCTGTTATGAGAGGAATTCCCCTAAGATCCATCCTGATGGAGGCCAAGACCAGGGCACTGTCCCTCTCCTTCACTGAGGCTTGACCTGGGTCACCTCACCCAGCAGGAATCGTTCCCCAAATCCCCATCACTGACCCTTCCTTAGGTACTGATCCACCTGAAGGACTCAAATATGGATTTACAACAAAATTGAGCCGATCCTACAAAATCAGTTAGGTTGGAGAAGACCTCTGAGATCTAGTCCAGCTTCTAATCCCAGATGAGCCCAAGTGCTCCATTAGAGGTCAGGAGGCACAATGGCCCAAGATGATCTTGTCCTAATTTTATTCTTCATCAGAAACGTACCAAACTAATTAAAATCCATCCAAATGAGTAAACCAACACCTGGTGGCCCAAGTCCCCCTCGTGTGGCACAGCCCCACGTCCTGGTGGCTGAGCAGGCACAGGGCTGTGACCTGTGATGAAAAGGAGCCCAATGTCCCAAAAGAGGGGCAATATTTCTGGGAATCACTATAAAATAAGTTTTCCCATCTATGTCTGTAGAAACATTTCAGTATGTTAGTCAGCACTCCCTTTAAAAAATAAAATAGGTTATTCTATTGGAAAATCCATTTCTCCTTTAGCACAGTTACTCGTTTGCCATTTACAACACAGTAAATTTAGATCTTAATGTTGTCATCATTGCTATAAAGGAATAAAACCAATTTAAATACTTGTATCCATTTTTAGACACGAGGCCGACGACAAAGAACAGGCAAAAGAGAATCCAGACCTGAAAAATAATAAGTCTGAAAAAGGAAATTGGAAAAAAACGCGGAGTTAAATTGAGTGCATGTGACTAAGTTCTTATCACAAAAATCTAATTCTGAAGGATAATTCTTGATTAGCTTTAAAGTGCCATTTCAAAGACATGATTATCAGTTGCAGATTAAAAAACTCCACCAAATAAGTGGTTTTAGAAATTGCTTTAGCCCAAAACAAAGCAAGTTAAGACTATGAAGTATCTTGGACCTTCATTAGTTCTAAAATTAATTTAGAACTACTGAGCAAACAATGATCAAAGTACTTTTTGGTGTATTATTAAAAAAATTGTCAGCTGACAAGCTTCTATTCAGGAGATTCCTTTTCCGTGATTTTTTTAACAGGTTATGTCCCTCCTCTTTCAATATTTGCATTCTTTTTAATGAACTTTTGGAAATCAGAGGTGTGCAGGACATTTGTAAAGAGTTCATATGTTTGTCACAGGAGAATTTGAAAACTGCTAAATTCAGCCTGTCCTGAACAATATCAGCTTCACTTTCAAAATGAAACCAAAACTAGAAAAACTTATAATCACAAATTATTAGTGTGAGATCTGGTATAAAGATAATTTTATATTTTTAGAAAACCAAGATTTTTATAGGTCACCATTCTTTGAGAAATGTGACTGAAAAATATGCATATACCTGCTATTTTTAAAAATTTCAGGTGAAGATATGCATTTTAAAACTATGAAATACCTGCTAGTAACTTTACAAACTGATTTTCAGGTCAAGCAATGAAATTGAAGCAGAGATGCTATAAACTGTCTCCTCAAATCCTGTCTGAAGCTTATCATCAATTACATGATGTAAATTATTCTGGGATCACCAAAAAGGAATACTCCTCTCCTAGAAATACTGAAGCATGTAACTATCTCCTCAAAAATATTAACCAGACTAAGCTATTCCAGTGCAAATCACGAATCTACTCAAACATCATCAAATTTAGTGAAGCTAAGGAAGGAATTAAAGCAGAATAATTAATTTTACCATTAATTTTTCCAGTTTGAAGGTGGACACTGCTTCACCTGTACACCACTGATCATTAATCCTACCCACAGCAATTACCCTCTCAAAAGCCCTTTTTGGTCTTTTTTTATGGGCTGCAGGTCCTAAATGAAAGTCACCAAAGATAAAGTGTATTGCTAAAAAAATAGTTCAGAAATGAATAGTTTGATGTTAATGGCAAAAATAAAACTGTAGATTTGTAGAGTTTCAGAGAAACTATAGAAAATAAGAAATATACTCAAAGAAATGTAATTTTTTTTTTTTGCTTAGAGATATATACTTTAAAAGATTGTATTTGGTAGGTCAAAGTATTAATTTGTTTCTCCTCCTAATGTTCATGTTATGTTCTGTTTAAAGGTGGTTGACATTCCACAAGTCAATTAAGGAATTGCCTGCACTAAAAGGCAGCTATAAAGTCCTGTGTGAAGAGAGCAGGAAATATCCAGGATATTCCCACTGTCCATGGAGGTAACTCATGAAGATGGAGAAGGAGGTGAGCCACCACCACCTCATGGCACCCAAAATCAGGCACCAATACCCAACTGGCCTGATAAAATATTCCCTCTTGAACCCAAATATCAGCCCTGTTTTGACCTGCACTACCCTCAAGAAGCTACCTGAAGGATTAAACTATAATTTTAAATATAAGAACAATCAAAATTGGGAAACCATAAAGTAAAATACTTTATACACAATTAAATACTTTATATACAATTAAATTGATCAGGTTAAAGAGTCCCTGCTAACCCATGCTGTGAGAACTGACACAGCTTAGGGAACCTCTCACACACCCATGTGCTGCTACACCTGCAGGAGTGGGAAACACCTTCAGGAAGATGTTGAGGTGGTGGGACTTAGGATGAAATGCAGGTCTCCAAAACAAAAAAGACTGTACCTGGAGAGAGCAAAAGCAAAAAAGCACTATTGAAAAAATAGAACAGTCCAGCTGAACAGCAAGTGTAACTTTAGTTGTGCTACTGACCTGATGCTGTTACACAGATAAGCCACTTTGTAGTAATTTAATTTAATTTAATTCAATTCACTAAATTCCTTGTTAATTAACCACAGCAGTTGCTCTTGCAGCTCTTCTAAGCTGAAGATTAATTTCCTCCTGCTTCTGCAGCCTTGAAGTCATAAAAGCCGTATATATATATAAATTTTTATGGAATGAGTATGTTAGAGTTGTGTCACAAATGTTCTTTTGGAATTAAAGGTGCAGTCAGGCATCATTGTCCAGGTTGGTCTAGTGGAAGATGTCCCTGCCCATGGCAGGGGGTGGAACGAGATGAGCTTTAAGGACCCTCCCAACTCAAACCAGTCTGGGATTCTCTGATTTTGTCTTCAAAAGTACAAACAAGTTCAGATCTGTACAGATAAAATAAAAGCCAAAAATTGAGAACATCTGCTGGATCTAAGACCCAGCCTGATGTTCCTATGTATTTGAGATACAGGGAATGTATCTGTGGGCTCTTAAGGTAAGTGATTGCTTATATGAAAGAGAAATTAAACTATTTTATATAACCTGAAAGCACATGGATTGGTGTTTCCTGCAGTGAGGGTGTGGAATCCATCAGTTGCTGTATATTCCATAAAAATCATGGATTACCAGCACCACTTCATGTCAACAAAACATAAACAATCCCATTCTCTTTATACTGTGCCCACTGTTTCCTGCTCCAGCTGCTCCTTTTGTTTCATTAAGACACTGAAATTATGAACCCAACAGATATAGATTCAGTTGTCAACACCAGTAATTAGTTGGGTGATGATCCTCCAGATGCTCAATCATCTCACAAATGCATACACCAGAGGTGCCAAAACAAGTTCCTTTGCCCATTTTCCCAACAAATTTCAATACATTTGGCATCTCAGTGCACCATTCCATAGTGCAGTAACATGCCCAAACATGGGATGCTTCTTCACTCCTGCGATTTTCCTCCATACAGGCACAAAAACACTTCAAGTGACTGTGCCCAGAGCCAAACATTTTCTTTTAAAGTGGAACCTGATGGCTTTTAATTCGCCATAACACTGCTCCTAAGTGTTAGGAATGATGGATTATCTCAGGAACAGCCTGGTTGGGAACTTCTCCTCAGGTTCCATCCTGTAACTCAGTGGTCTGTGAGTAAATAATAAAGAGATGGAGGAGGTAAGAGCTATAACTTGCAAAGTGAGTAACTGTTCCAAGGAAATCATTACACTGGGCCATACGGTAATGGGCTATTTTGGGACTCGTGGTCTTTGCAGTACAATTTATGAACTTTGTTGCCTAAGGCATCATTAGCAAATCTCTGTGGTTGTATTTAAAGGCAGCAAAATGAGAGTAAATATTAAAACAAACCACCACAAATCGAAGCCAAATTCTTGAATAACAACTGAGAACAAAGGAAAAGGAGATCAAACAAATATTTTAAGTACAGTTCTCTTCAATGAATGGCCTAAGGGAACCTCTGGGTTCTTTCTCCTAAATCAATGCCCTCCCTGCTTTAAATCACCATTCTTTCCTCATAGGCTTTATTTTTCTTCATTCAACTTCAAATTTAGTCATAACTTATTGGCACAAAGTGCACTTTGGCAATTTTGCTATTTCAAAAAAATTAAAATGTTCCTTGGATTTCTGGCAAAAGCAAGTACAGCCCCACATTCCTACCCAGAGTATTTTTATTGGCCAGCCCAATAATCTGCTGCAAAGGGTAGTTTCAAACCATTCTGTCTCAGATTCCCTAAAAGGGCCAGTTTTCTAGGAAATGGAAACTGATAGTGATAGTTCACAGGGAGTTGTAAAATCATTTCACATTAAAATATAGGGAAATTATAATAATGGGTTAAAGCATTCCTTAGGGTAAATAAATACATCTCAATTACCATCTCATTTACAACTCCTTGGATCTGGCTAATTATAAACTTGGAGAAAATTTGCTGTGAAAACCGAGTAGCTGGGATGTCCTGGGAGTGAACAGCAATTAATTTGGATAAGATAAACCAGTACATGATTTATCCCTGCCAGCAGAGGTTGGAATTTCAAACACCCCCACAATGTTTTGTCCTTAAAAATGCTGTAACTTATTAAATACGGAAAAACTTGTTAAATATGGAAAACTGGCCTAAAGGAGGGAATGCAAGTGAAACCTTCCCAAAAAATATATGAGATTTTCAAATGTTCTGCCCTTCAGTTATAAAAAGGTTTCCATAGAGACTGTCATCCAATATGCCTTTTTGCCATAAAAACACTCACTGAAGTGTCTGACTTTTCCATGTTCATGGGAGCAAAATAAATCCATCCCCTTCCTGTTTTCCAGGTTTCCTGGCTGAGGTTATGGCAGCAACCTATTTTGCCTTGTTTTTGGAGATTTCCTTGGTTCTGCTGCAATGGAAATAAACACACTTAACGAGGTTATTATTATTTGGAGCAATTAGATAATGCTGTTTAATTACTCAACCTTTAATCTCACCCAGTTGCATGTGATTTGCATACATTATGCCAAGAGAACTGATATTGGGAGCAAAGGAATCAAAGTGTCAGAATGCTGGAAAAGTGAAAATAAGTGTATTAAAACTATTTGACTGCATTCCCAGTTTCCTGTTCTCAGTGCCAGCTCATCTTGGGGTGTCTGCCTGGTTTCATTACCTCTGAGTGCAGTGGAAGAGTTTTAAAATTAGTAAAATCCATCAGTGTTGGCCAAACTGGAAATACTTGGCAGTCTGAGCGAGTTGTTCAAGTGGTGCAACAGTGCCTGGGTTTAGAGGAGAGACAGACCATCAGCTTTATAAGGATGTGGCAAACCCCTTTCTGTGTTCTCTGTGGGGACGAGGGACAGGACCCCAGGGAATGGCCTAAGTTGTGTCAGGGCAGGTTTAGGTTGGATCTTAGAAAAAGGTTCTTCCCCCAGAGGGTGGTTGGGCACTGAACAGGCTCCCCAGGGCAGTGGTCACAGCACCAAGGCTGCCAGAGCTCAATGAGCATTTGAATGATACATTGGGGCAGCTGGTGTGACTCTTGGGGATGGTCCTGTGCAGGGCTGAGGGTTGGACTCGATGATCCGTGTAGGTCCCTTCCAACTCAGCATCTCCTGTGATTCTATACCTTTTTTCATGCAAACTGCTGGTGAAAACTCCTGACTCAACATTTTTGGAGGCCAAGGTTCCCTTTGTGGAGCAGCTGTTGCACTCCTGCCAGGTGAGGGGTGAGGTATAAGGTTCCTGCCCTGGCTCTTTGGTCAGCAGTTTCTCTTCCCTGCTGTCAATCCTGTTGTTCCATCAGAGACAATCACAGCGGAGAGCACTTGCTCCAGGGACGTGGTGCAATTGCCAGTGTCACCAATAAAAATTGACAATAAACCAGAGCCAAGCAGGATTGTTCCTGACGGCTCCCAGTTCCCAGAGCGATCCCATCCACTGCTGCCACCAAGGAAACCAGCCCAGGGATAACAGTGAATTTTCCCACAGCATTTAGATGAGGCCACTCTGAGCTGAAGGCAGAAACTTCCAGATCTAAGACGTTCCACTTCTGCCATCAAATTCCTGCTTCTGTTCTGCTCAAGCCAAAGTGGTATCCAGAGTGGTATCCACCGTTCCATGGGGCTCTTCTCCCGAGGTGGAACCAGTTCTGCGCAGGCTCTGGCACCCACAGCAGTTGTGTTTGGCACCTCACTAACGAGGCAGGGCTTGGAGGACTTCACTCTTGGACTTGAGTGTCAAAATTCCACTGCAGCCTTGGCTTCAGGAACACCAGCCCTTCTGGGCCAAGGTCCTTCCGTGACTCAGTTCAAGCACAAAGCAGAGAAAATAATTACCTCGCATCACGCCAGAGGGCTGCAAATAAGGGATATGAAATATTCCATGGCACTTATGTTCCCTTCTCACAGTTTGGGTGCCTGGCAAAGGGGGGGTTTGTACAGCAAAACAACGCAACAGTTACCGAGTTAACTGCTGTGGGAATTAATATTCCAAACATCACTGACAGCCCAGTGCAGGCTCCTTTGAAAACCCCAGCCATAGCTGGAATTCTCTTTTAAAAACAAATTAAATGGCTAGCCAAGAGCTATGAACACTGCAAATTAATCTTTGCACTTGCAAACAGCCTTTTGGATTACCTGCACTCTCTTAACTTGATCCAGGACTTTTGCATCCTATTTTTTTCTCCCTTTTCCATATTTGCTGCCAGTTTACTCTCATAATTTGTCCTCTGACAAATGCACTTTCTCTCCTCATCCCCATTTCTGGGTCACTTTACAGAATAAAGCCTTTGAAAGCCCGAGATCTCCTTTTGACCAGTTATAGTCACAACTCTTGCTGCATGTGAACCTCTCCTGAATTCTTATCCATCTTCTCTCTCCTTGCCAAGGGCAAGGGTAAAGATAATATTTCATGGCTTAAGTGGCCTTATAAAATGTTCATGGGCAATTTGTAACAGACTCATCTTTCCAAATCACACTTTTTATCCAGGCAAGGGCATAAACAAATAAAAAATCATCTCAAATGATCAAATCCTCTCAATCCATTTCCAAGCAATGTATTCTGCCCATATAAACAGCTTCTCCACGGGCAGGCAGCAGTTTACTTGGATATGGGAAAAATCAATACACTTTCAGTGCTCAAATACTGAAAGCATTGAGTCAATTTAACATTAATGAACACAAATCAAAGGCAATTCTTGTTTTCATTTCAAAAGAACCTTTTTTTCAACAAGAATGAAAGAAAACCTACAAGAAATTATTACATCTATGCTGCAAAAATGAAATAAGTGGAAAATTAATGGTTATAAAATCTGAACAGTTATAGGGAAGGAGGATTCAGGGTTTAACTGCTTGTTTTATGATCTTGCTCCTCAGTCAACACAGTAAAATAATGATGGGGAGGGAAGGCCATGGCAGCAACACAGGCAATAAAAATGAAGAGCTATCATGCAGCTTCTTATAACACTAATTACACCCATTATCAGGTTTTGGTTTAAATCGACAATCATATCTTTCCCAACATTCCTGCTGGGACAAGGTCAGCTGTCAGCATTTGGAGCTGGGATTTGGCACTCCTCTAAATCAGTTTTCCCTGTAATTACTCTTTAACAGCAAAAGCTTTGGGTCTTCTCATGACCTTCAAGTTTAAGCAGAGTTGTCAGACCCGTCAGATCAAGTTTGTATGTCCTAGGGGAAAAGTGACCAAAGAGCAGCAAGGAGCAGCTCCAGAAAAACTTTTAAGGGAAAAGAAAGTGGGGATTTATTGCTGTGACTTCCAAGAGGTTCTGCAACCTGCTGCATTTCTGGCAGAGCTGAAACAGAACCCTGCAAGCACCTTCTGCTGGCATGGAGTGTGAAGAACCACCAAAAAATATCTCCACTGATACAGTATTGTAGCTAAAGTAATTAATATTATGCCATTTTCCAATGTACAGAGTCACAGAATATTCTGAGTTGGAAGGGACCCACAAGGATCACCAAGTCCATCCTTATTGATAATATTTGATACATTTCAGTCAAAAATTATTTGTCCCACTAGAAAACATAGCAGAGAATATGCCAGTGTGGATGAACAAACACAGGTTGTACACATACATTTAACAGTGCAGTTTAATTAGAGCTGGACTTAATGACCTGGTTCTCACTGTGAATGTGCTCCACAGACTTACCTGGTTGGAATCAACATCAGCACTGGAACAGACCAAGCCAAAGGTGTGTTCTTCTTTCTCTCAGTTTGTATTTTCTGTGCATGACAAATTCCAACTGGGGAGCAAATACTCAAGTTCAAGAACTTCATCTGCAGAGTGAAACTCCTTCATCTGTCTGTAGATGGGCAAAATATAACTTAATTGGGCTTCACCTGCCACAGACACTTCTGTGGTGTGGGAACAGCTTTGGGCTGAATTCCACCTCCTGTGGTTCACAGAGCTGAACAAATAATGTCCTTGCTAGAACTTCCCTGATTTATGCCTGAATTTTAGTGAGAACAACTTTATGAGTTCTAGAGGACAAAAAGAATCCACAAAGCATCTTGTTTGATGTTTCACTCAAACTCTTATTAAAACTCAGAGGTGAACAGTTTCTATGCTGAAAGCAACTTTCCCCTCATGCTTAAACATTCTGCATCCTGGCTGTGTTTGTTGTTCTTTGTCTAGCAGCAAGATTAAAATCACGCATTTTCTTCTGAAGGCAAACCTGACAAAACAGCCACTTTGTTCACTATCCACCATCCAGGATGATTTTGGACATAAAATTAGAAATTCTAGCAAGCTGGGTCTAGAGACTGACACACAGGACATCAGATGCAGAGCTCTGAAAGCACAAAGCAGAGCTCAATAGATTTCTGCAGCTGCCTGGTCAGCAAAAAGCCTCCACCTAATCCTACACAAACACAGAATGGCAAATCCAGAGCCACGGAGCTTTCAGGAGCAGATAAGAAAAGAAAACCCTGAAATTCTTGGCTTTGGTGAGTCTGTGCAGTGGCTGACCACTTCCAGAAATGTTAGCTTCCCAAATAATGACCAACAAGCTAAAAAAAAAAGGCTTTAAAACTTACATCGATATTGTCATTTATATGTAAAGTTTAGATCTCTCAAGGCTGTTGGCAAAAGTAGAGGAACCTGAGTGAATTTTCAGTCCTGTTACAGCACTTTTTCAGCCAGAAAAGGAAACTGAGACAGAATCATTTCCATGTAGCCACTATTCACAGATCTATACTTTATATACAGTTTATTTCACTAGAGATTTTAATTTTATACATAGTATAAAGGGGTATCCTGGTATCACACATATAGTTATTTTACTGTACTGTTTAAGAACCAATTTTTACATAATACAGTATTAAGTACCATATTAATTAAAACAAGTGATTTTTAAAAAAACCCTACATATAAATGGATGTTTATCATATGCACAGTGCAAGAGTGTTTTTATATCCTCATAATCACAAAATGTGAATCTAAAATACAACACTGATTTCAAACTAATTCATAATTACGATGCCCTGTGTTGTAGACATTGATTAATCTTTGTTTGAATTACCAAGCAATGTTAAAATTCCAGACAAACAGCAGCAGCTTCTCATGATGATTTCAAGATTTCTTCCACAGTAACCCAAGTTTTACAAAACACTGGTTTATCCCTACTTCTGGTCTCAACAGTGTCCTAAAGAAACAGGAGAATGGCACAGATTCCATCTGGGATTATCTGGCAACTAATGCTAAATAAATTCTTTATTACTTCCACACAGGAATCCTTTAAGGATGATCAAAGAGGTAAAGCTGGAGAGATTTATGGGCAGAACTCTCAGAATTTTAGTTATGGAGTACAGGATTTCTCCTCTGCAAATTGGAAGACAATACTGTAATAAGAATCAGGTTGGAATATTTACAGAAAACCATTGTGGAAAAGAAAGCATTCCTAATGTAAACACCGAGTCAGAAAGGACTTCTTCATTTTCCCATTGCAGAGTGGGGCACTGGATGAACATCAGCTAATAAGGAACAGATGTGTCTCCTTTAGAAGAACCACTTCACCATCACAGGATGCATGTGGTGCTTGTTGAGAATTGCTAACAGGTTTCTCCCCTCCCTCCCCCCAAAGTTTGAAGTTCAATAAATAGTAGAAAAATAATCCTTTACTTAAAAATCTTGAGATGCATTGTCCCAGGTTCCATACAGCAATGTCGGAGCAGGGAACTTTCCACGCGCAGAGAAACCAACAGCCCTCCCCCCGCTCTGTCTGGCACTTCTGTAGCCTTCAGCTGCACAGATTTCTGCTCTTCCAGTTAAGGAAACCAAATCATCTCTGGCTCTTTTAAGCGCTCTCTCTCTCCTCTTGGCTCAGCACAAAGCTCCAGCTGCTGTATAAACTCACAGCCCCGCTCCTGGAGGTCTAACGTGCCTCCTGCTCCATTCCATTCAATGTTTTGGCAGGTCCATTCATCAAGCACGTCTCCAGTTCAGAGCCAACCTTACATTTATAAAAATGTAAAGCTTTGATGCCTAAGTTTACTGGGGAAGTCAGTGAAGTTGTCCCAGGGGAGCAGCACAGCCCCCGAGCTGCTCAGCGGTCCTGTCCCTCGTGCCGTCGGCCATCAGCACTCAGCATCCACAGTGTGTACCGTGACCGCAGCCTGCAGGTGGTGGCTGTGGTGGAGGGTTGGGTGGTGCAACCGGTAGTGGTGGAACTTGTGGCTCAGCAGGGCGGCTGTCTGAGGGGGGGTGTCCAGGTCCAGGTCTTCGTCGTGGTTCCCGACGTCAACGCCGGCCGACAGCGGGTCGTTGTTGCACGGAGGGTTCTCGCTGTCCTCCTGAGGGCTCATCGTGCTGTAGCCTAAGGAAATGAATCGGCAGCACGGAGGGTTAAAAGCAAGACTAAAAGGTCTGACTGCTGCACCCTTCATGGAACCAGACACAGAGTGCTTTACAGAGAGAATAAAACTACTTTCCTTAATAAACAGAAAAACAAAAACAAAACCTTCCCCTTCTGTAAGTCTATAATGGGTCCCTTTCCCTGCCACCATCTTTGGTTATAAACTTTGGGTCTGTGCCACCCCAAACAGTAACAAGAACCATGTGTTCAGCAGTTTGTTACAGCAGAATTGTTGGCACCGATTTCAAAACCAAAACATAAGATATGACCCCAAAAAAATCTGTTAGATATTACCTGGATTTTTAAACAGACAAGAAATAAGTGGGATCCACTCCCACATACCTCTGTTCCTACCATCTACACCTGTCCTGGATTACCAGTTATTGTATCTGGAAGCAGCAGAATCTCTTCACGTCATTGTGTTTTATAATCTTAGTATTTAATTTTTAAAAGAATGAGAGCACCTTTCACCAGTGAGGGTCTGTTGGCAAAATCCAAGCACGTGTGTTTAATGCTGGGGAGCTTTCCATACTTAAGGAAATCTATGGAATCCTCCTGGGAAGGGTTTCAAACAGCAAGTCCATTAAGCCAAACTGTACTGACGCTTCCTGCTGAACTCATGCATGTGGTGCAATTAACTCAGGGCTCTCTTTTGGCTAAAATATCTGCTACTGGAGTCTAAAAAGTTAAAAGAAACAGATCAGGAGTGGTGAAATATCCATTCCCTGGGATATCCTAAGGAAATGATGTCACTGGAAAGGCAGCTAACAGCTAACCCTTGCAGGCTCAGCCAGGAAACTGTTTCCTAACAGGTCCCTCTCCTTTGAAACAGGTGCTTCAAGTTACTGGGAGATTTGGATTTATCACTAAAACCAGCCATTTCCAGCCTGCAGTACAAACAAATCCACCTCAGTATCTCTAAATGGAGAAACACAAGTGCAATTTAAACAGAAATATATCTTGCTTTAAACAGAAAAATAATCCTTCTCAAAAACTGAGGAACCACTGGTGCTTCTGAGCATCTTGGTCAGGTTTTCAGCTGGAGACACCTAAAAGAAGTGTGTTAAAAATAGCAGGCTGAGCACCCAAAGCTGGCTCTCATTTCCCATGCTCTGAGTCATGGCTTCTAACTGGCAGGGAGGAATTGGGGAAGGAGACTGGGCAGCCCTTTGAAGAAGATGGAATTACAGGAACTAAAAATAGCGGCGCACATTTCAGATGGAGGTAGGACAGTTCCCCTGCTGACCCTGACAGGAGGACTAAAAGATGGGAAGGATTTCCTAGGACTGCAAGAAATAGAGCAAAGGGAGCATTAATCTGGCAAATCTGCCTCAGAACAGGTAATCTGGCCCCAAATCCAGGGTAATTCCTCCTACAGCAAGATTGGCTCACAGACATCTGTTCATCCACATTCCAAGGCTTTGGCCTTTGGGTTTCCTGTCCCTCAGCAATTCCATTAGTGCAACCACTGTTTAATACTGGAACAGGTCTGCTGTCACATACCCAGCCACTAAGGCTCCCAGCTAGAGGTGACAGCTGTGCAGACTTGTCTAACCCCCCTCTTAATTTCTGTTAAGCCTCCTCATGAGTCAACAGCATTACACCCTTCTAACAGCTTTCCAGATTTAAAGAGACTTAGTCTCAGGGCAGCAGGGACATACCCAAACTCCCTGAACCTAACGGTGATCAGTATTTGCTTAAAGGTGCTGGAAGATCTAATTATGGAATGATTTGGGTTGGAAGGGACCTTAAAGCTCATCTTGTTCCAATTCCCTGACATGGGCAGGGACACCTTCCACTAGTCCAGGTTGCTCCAAGCCCTGTCCAACCTGGCCTTGGACATTTCCAGGGATGGGGCAGCCACAGCTTCTCTGTCCAACCTGTGCCAGGGCCTCACCACCCTCATAGAGAACGATTTCTCTCTAATATCCCATCCCTTGTCCTGTCACTACAGTTCCTGATAAAGGTTCCCTCTCCAGCTTCCCTGTAGCCCCTTCAGATACTGGAAGGTGCTGTGAGATCTTCACAGAACCTTCTCTTCCCTGGGCTGAACAGACCAAATGTCAGAACTGTTTAACCGTGAAGCAACACAGCAGAATGGTTTTTGTTTGGTTTGAGTTTTGGCTGCCTTATCTGCAATGTGCCAGACACCTGAAGGAACCCAGGTCACCCCAGTGATTTCTGTGGGGCCAGGGCAGTGATCCAAGGCCTTACCGTGGTCGCTCTCGGTGCCGGATCGGCCCCAGTAGCGTCGCCGGCGCTCGGGGCTGTGCGCGTGGCGCTCAATCACCGCCGCGATGAACCGCGTGTTGCTGACTGCGGACACACAGACACAGCAGGGCGTAAACCAAGGGTCTCACTGAACAGAGAACACACTTTCTGTAACTAATTCTTCTGCAGTACTTAAAAGAATCACAGAATCTGCTGAGCTGGAAGGGACCCATAAGGACCATCAAGTCCAACCCTCAGCTCTGCACAGGACCATCCCCAAGAGTCACACCACATGCCCCAGAGGATCATCCAAACACTCCTGGAGCTCTGGCAGCCTTGGTGCTGTGACCACTGCCCTGGGGAGCCTGTTCAGTGCCCAACCACCCTCTGCAGGAAGAACCTTTTTCTGAGATGCAACCTAAACCTGCTCTGACACAACTTAGGCCATTCCCTTGGGTCCAGTCACTGGTCACTGACACAGGAGGAGTAAAGAGTGGTGTTTAAACGTGGAATAGATCAAGATCTAGCCAAACTCATTCACCTTGGATTAACAGAATTTAGAGAATTACTGTGCCAATGCTTAAGAACCTGTGACAGCACTGAAAGCTGACTCAAAACTAAAAGGGACGCGGAGAAGCAGTAGATGCAAGCCATGAAGCTCAGAATCCTTATTTTTCCATCTTTGAGTGTTGACACAGTTTCAAATCTTGAATATTGTTTTAGTGAGGGCCCAGAGAGAGGAATCTGGTCCGACCTTGGAGCTTTCCTGGAGTTTAGGTGGACCAGTTCACCTTACAGCACACCAGGATCATGTAAAGTGCCATTTTGACTGAATGGCAAAGAACTTTGGGCATCCAAAATCAATGCAAAGAAGATTTACTGCCAGGTTTGTTGGCCATACTTGCCAGACTTGGCTTTTGCTTTCCAAGGCTGAACAAGGAGAGGAGTTTTCCATGCCCTGTGCTGTCACAATGGCAATTTTTAAGCTGATCAGAGTTACTTCTGGAAGTGGTCATGACCAGGGGGTGTAAGGGGCAAAGCTCCCCCATACATAATGGAGACTAATCTTTTAAAAGTGAAAAATGTAATTTTTCAGCAAGAGACTAAAGGTGCACTGGACGTTACAGTTTGAGTTAAAACACTGTTCTGTCATTACTACTGTGGCTCAGCACAGGGCTTCCTCATACATTTTTAATTCTAGAGTATTAAAAAACAAATGGCTCCTTTAGTTTAACATTTTTTTACAGCAGAGTGGTTTGGTACTTACTGATTCCTCTGTCTTCATGGCTGTCATCGTCCCTCTCGTCCCTATCATTTTCCAGGTTGGACATACGCACTGACATTTCTACACACCATTACAAACAGAAAAATGCAACTGTTAAGAGAAAAATTTTGGATCATCTTACTACCAACTGTCACCCTGGCAACAGAGTGGGAGCACTTTGTGTGTGAAGAGATGGTCTGAGCTGGGGGTGCTCTTCTTCCAGTACAGATGGGGCTGGGAATACCAGGAAAATGCCACACCCCACCTCCCCCTGAGAGGAACCAGCTTTGAAGTTCTGAAGAAAGTTGTCTGATTTAAAATAGAGCTGGGGCATAATCAAATATAGAGGTAATTAGCCCTGATCACACTTAGAATCACAAAATGGTTTGGGTTGGGAGGGACCTTAAAGATCACCTCCTTCCAACGCCCTGCCATAGGCAGGGACACCTTCCACTTGACCAGGTTGCTCCAAGCCCCCTCCAACCCGGCCTTGGACACTTCCAGGGAGGTGTTCTCACCCTTATATCTTTATCTTTCCACCAGTATCCCTTCTCCCAACACAGTTTTCTCTCAGACTTCAGTGGTTTTATCTATCTATGCACAGACATTCCATGAGCATCACACAGACCAGAGGCAGGAGACACAAGTAAAAAAAAGATACATCCCAAACAGACCAAGCAAAAGGGTGTGAAAACTGTGTCACTTCCAAAAGCAGCACCGTTGGGCAGAACTAAACATGTGCAATGGGTCTGCTGTGACAAGGGACAGAGAGTTGGGAAGCTTGGATTAGC